AAGCAGTGGAAAAATTATGACTTCTTCATTGGCTACGGAATAAGTTGTGGCCAAAAGATAATATCCTTCAGCATATGATTACAGCCAACTTATGATAGGTCAGAAAAGTTGCAGTATGATATTATTAAATGTCAGTTAAGACTCATAACTTTAACAAAACAATATGTTACTAATTGTCATTGTACATGACTGTATTTATCAGATTATGTCAATGCCCTGGTTGAAGTGCTTCCTGATTTTGAACACTGTGTATTTTCAATATCATGTGACATGATTGTATAGATCTACATCGTATTTATATTAAAAAAAAGCAAAAACAAAAACTTACTGTGCTTAGTTTATCCAATTATAACAAATATCATTCATTAATTGAATAAAATATTGAAAATAAAATTTAACGGAATCAAGCTTCCTTCTAAATTCAATATGTCTGCCAACAAAGAGTTCATTTATATATTTGTCATGTTCTGGTTCCGGTCTTATACAAACATAATTATAATACAATCATGTATTTAATAAGGGAACCAACCCAAAAAAATGCTAATACAACTGTTTTGTAAGTTCTTATGTTACAGAAAACATTTAAGTGATAAGACACGGGCTAAATTATTGAATAAATGAAACTTGATACTTTATACATTTTAATGATCAAAAGAGAGATAGTTACATGTACAGATGAGCATAAAATTACAATATTGGCTAAATTTATGTAAAAAGGATTTGACATGCATTTAATTAGGAAATTCTCCCTTTCTTACCATAATATTCAAAGTCAGCAAACCCCCAGAACTTAGTATCTGTAAAGGTTGATAGTCATGATCTACATTGTTATCCCCCTTTGACCATAAAAAGCTTTTGTTTACTTATGTCCATTTGGGTTGTCCCCCTTGCTTGTAAATGCCAGTAAAAGGAGTTCAAAACTATCTGTTATACCCAGGCATATAGTTGTAAAATGGAATGCAATAACCTATGTTCTAAGTATCATTCCTGTTAGGTTCCACAGCAAAAATTATTTTTGAAAAAAGATATTTAGTTGCAATAAACCTGGTTTGATGTTGTTGCAGTTTGGGTGGTTCCTGGGTATTTCTACCTGAATACTGTATAATCAACCTAAGGATATGTTGCTCGTCTTTTATATGCAGGCTTTATAACTTCTGATCCCCTTTAAAATTCCATTTTATTCGGTTCTGCTCATTGTTTTTTAAACCAGGGCAAACATGGTCTTAAAATTACTTGGAAACCATACGTCACCTTTCATGAAATGGCACTTACGTGTCACATTGACCATGATAACCTCATATAAACACATCTGCTGATGTTTTTTTGTTCAGAAATAAACCATGTTCATAATTAAATGTTGAATCCTGCATTAGCTGGTGGTAGACGGGGTGGACAGTTAAACTTGCAATTACCAGTACTTTCCATGAACAAGCTCAAACTGAGTCTGCAACATTTTCAATTTTGCCATTTTGGGAGTCTTTTGGAATTTGTTTTTCTCTTTTTAACTGTTACTCTGTAAATTATACTTGCCCTGGTAAACCTAGTTGAATTTATTATTGGTTGTGGCAGACCAGATTCAACTGTTGCTCTTAAATTTATAATTGGTTGTGGTGAACCTAGTTTAACTGATACTCTGTAAATTAGTTGTGGTCTATTTCTAGGTTCTTTTGTGCAAATTTAGGGTCAACCAGTCAATTTATATGATCCTAGATATTGGATAACCAGTTAGCCAATTTGCATATAAAATTGTTAACACTGGAAAGAACTATAATCTATAAATAGGAATTGCTACCAGTTTTTGCAATGGGGATATTGTCACCAGGGTTTATGTCAAGACTTTTAAAGTCCTGAGTTTGAACTGGAAATATAATGAAGAAGAATATAACATATTTACAATGTTTTAATGCTGATTACAGAATTGAAATATGAAAATGATGATTTAACACATGAGAAAAATAATGAATAAACATGATTTAACCAACACAACAATGATAATGAAAATGTAAAAGTGTTGGGTTTACAGTTCTGGGTGAGACTAACAGAACAAAAATTTGAAATGATAGTTAATAGAAAATGAACTTCTCAAATTGTTTAACAAATATTTCTTCCGCACCAAGATATAATTAGTATTTGAATCATTCACAAATAATGAACTTTTTTTTTGTGAGCCTAGATGGTTGATGACCCAGGACTGTTGAGACCACTGTAGTATAGAGCCAGGTCAGTCTGCATGGTTGTACAGGCTGGTCTAGCACTACGCTGGTAGAGCCAGGTCAGTCTGCATGGTTGTACATGCTGGTCTAGCACTACGCTGGTAGAGCCAGGTCGGTCTGCATGGTTGTACAGGCTGGTCTAGCACTACGCTGGTAGAGCCAGGTCGGTCTGCATGGTTGTACAGGCTGGTCTAGCACTACGCTGGTAGAGCCAGGTCGGTCTGCATGGTTGTACAGGCTGGTCTAGCACTACGCTGGTAGAGCCAGGTCGGTCTGCATGGTTGTACAGGCTGGTCTAGCACTACGCTGGTAGAGCCAGGTCGGTCTGCATGGTTGTACAGGCTGGTCTAGCACTACGCTGGTAGAGCCAGGTCAGTCTGCATGGTTTTACAGGCTGGTCTAGCACTATGCTGGTAGAGCCAGGTCAGTCTGCATGGTTTTACAGGCTGGTCTAGCACTACGCTGGTAGAGCCAGGTCGGTCTGCATGGTTGTACAGGCTGGTCTAGCACTACGCTGGTAGAGCCAGGTCAGTCTGCATGGTTTTTACAGGCTGGTCTAGCAACTACGCTGGTAGAGCCAGGTCAGTCTGCATGGTTTTACAGGCTGGTCTAGCACTACGCTGGTAGAGCCAGGTCAGTCTGCATGGTTGTACAGGCTGGTCTAGCACTACGCTGGTAGAGCCAGGTCAGTCTGCATGGTTTTACAGGCTGGTCTAGCACTACGCTGGTAGAGCCAGGTCGGTCTGCATGGTTGTACAGGCTGGTCTAGTCCAGGTAGCAGCACTAGCTGTAGAGCCAGGTCGGTCTACGCTGGTAGAGCCAGGTCGGTCTGCATGGTTTTACAGGCTGGTCTAGCACTACGCTGGTAGAGCCAGGTCGGTCTGCATGGTTGTACAGGCTGGTCTAGCACTGCGCTGGTAGAGCCAGGTCGGTCTGCATGGTTGTACAGGCTGGTCTAGCACTGCGCTGGTAGAGCCAGGTCGGTCTGCATGGTTGTACAGGCTGGTCTAGCACTGCGCTGGTAGAGCCAGGTCGGTCTGCATGGTTTGTACAGGCTGGTCTAGCACTGCGCTGGTAGAGCCAGGTCGGTCTGCATGGTTGTACAGGCTGGTCTAGCACTGGTAGAGCCAGGTCGCTGGTAGAGCACTACGCCAGGTCGGTCTGCATGGTTGTACAGGCTGGTCTAGTGCGCTGGTAGAGCCAGGTCGGTCTGCATGTGGGTCTAGCACTGCGCTGGTAGAGCCAGGTCGGTCTGCATGCCACTGGTCTGGTAGCAGCCAGGTCGGCATGGTACAGGCTGGTCTAGCATAGAGCAGGTCGTGCATGGTTGTACAGGCTGGTCTAGCACTACGCTGTAGAGCCAGGTCGGTCTGCATGGTTGTACAGGCTGGTCTAGCACTACGCTGGTAGAGCCAGGTCGGTCAGCATGGTTGTACAGGCTGGTCTAGCACTACGCTGGTAGAGCAGGTCGGTCAGCATGGTTGTACAGGCTGGTCTAGCACTACGCTGGTAGAGCCAGGTCGGTCAGCATGGTTGTACAGGCTGGTCTAGCATTACGCTGGTAGAGCCAGGTCGGTCAGCATGTTGTACAGGCTGGTCTAGCACTACGCTGGTAGAGCCAGGTCGGTCTGCATGGTTGTACAGGCTGGTCTAGCACTAGCCAGGCTGGTCCAGGTCGGTCTGCATGGTTGTACAGGCTGGCCTGCACTACGCTGGTAGAGCGCAGGTCGGTCTGCATGGTTGTACAGGCTGGCCTAGCACTACGCTGGTAGAGCCAGGTCAGTCAGCATGGTTGTACAGGCTGGCCTAGCACTACGCTGGTAGAGCCAGGTCGGTCTGCATGGTTGTACATGCTGGTCTAGCACTACGCTGGTAGAGCCAGGTCGGTCTGCATGGTTGTACCAGGCTAGCACTACGCTGGTAGAGCCAGGTCGGTCAGCATGGTTGTACAGGCTGGCCTAGCACTACGCTGGTAGAGCCAGGTCGGTCTGCATGGTTGTACAGGCTGGCCTAGCACTACGCTGGTAGAGCCAGGTCGGTCTGCATGGTTGTACAGGCTGGTCTAGCACTACGCTGGTAGAGCCAGGTCGGTCTGCATGGTTGTACAGGCTGGTCTAGCACTACGCTGGTAAAGCCAGGTCGGTCTGCATGGTTGTACAGGCTGGTCTAGCACTACGCTGGTAAAAGCCAGGTCGGTCTGCATGATTGTACAGGCTGGTCTAGCACTACGCTGGTAGAAGCCAGGTCGGTCTGCATGGTTGTACAGGCTGGTCTAGCACTACGCTGGTAGAGCCAGGTCGGTCTGCATGGTTGTACAGGCTGGCCTAGCACTACGCTGGTAGAGCCAGGTCGGTCTGCATGGTTGTACAGGCTGGCCTAGCACTACGCTGGTAGAGCCAGGTCGGTCTGCATGGTTGTACAGGCTGGCCTAGCACTACGCTGGTAGAGCCAGGTCGGTCTGCATGGTTGTACATGCTGGTCTAGCACTACGCTGGTAGAGCCAGGTCGGTCTGCATGGTTGTACATGCTGGTCTAGCACTACGCTGGTAGAGCCAGGTCGGTCTGCATGGTTGTACAGGCTGGTCTAGCACTACGCTGGTAGAGCCAGGTCGGTCTGCATGGTTTTACAGGCTGGTCTAGCACTACGCTGGTAGAGCCAGGTCAGTCTGCATGGTTTTACAGGCTGGTCTAGCACTGCGCTGGTAGAGCCAGGTCAGTCTGCATGGTTTTACAGGCTGGTCTAGCACTACGCTGGTAGAGCCAGGTCGGTCTGCATGATTGTACAGGCTGGTCTAGCACTACGCTGGTAGAGCCAGGTCAGTCTGCATGGTTGTACAGGCTGGTCTAGCACTATGCTGGTAGAGCCAGGTCGGTCTGCATGGTTGTACAGGCTGGTCTAGCACTATGCTGGTAGAGCCAGGTCGGTCTGCATGGTTGTACAGGCTGGTCTAGCACTACGCTGGTAGAGCCAGGTCGGTCTGCATGGTTTTACAGGCTGGTCTAGCACTACGCTGGTAGAGCCAGGTCAGTCTGCATGGTTTTACAGGCTGGTCTAGCACTACGCTGGTAGAGCCAGGTCAGTCTGCATGGTTGTACAGGCTGGTCTAGCACTACGCTGGTGTCAAAGGGTTACAGCAGTTTACGGGTTAAAACTGTTCTATTTGTTGATGCTTTTCGTTTAATTGTTGAATTTTTCATTAAAAAATGCTGAAATTAAACTATAAGACTACTCAAAGACAAGTTGTAAACATGCAAAGATTTTACTTAAAATAAATAAACAGTAGTTAGAAAGAAATTTCTTACTCAGAACTGGTAAATAACAATGGTACTTTGACAGTGACAATACATTAGATTTTTCTCTAGAGTAAGGTAGACATCTTATATAATAGACATTGTACAAGTACAATATAATTCAATACCAATACATTTTACAATACCAGTTCAATACAATACCAATGCAATTATACAATGCAAATATAATACAATACCAATGCAATGCAATACAATACATTACCAATGAATTATACAATACCAATGCATTCTAATGCAATGCAATACAATTCAATGAAATACATGTATAATACAATACCAAGCATTGCAATACCACTACAATACAATACAATATCCTTATTGCTTCATGTATTGGACACAAGCCCAAAACATAAACATTTTTTTCAAGTAATTTGTTCTTTATAAATGCAATGGTAATATCAAATATGGCTTCATGTGAATATACATGCATAATAAAAATTCACCACAATTGTGTATTATAAAGTTCATAGTTATTAATGAATATAGGAATGTGTCATTTCATGCTAAACCTTACCCGAAACGAAATGCAAGGCAAAACAAACCAAAAATGTTAACAAATATATATAAACTTAATTTAAATTTCAAAAATATTTATTACTTCCCTTTAATAAAAGTTTTATTATACACATGTTTCAAACAATTCAATTCTTGTGATATAAATACAAGAATAGTTTATTTGCAGTGCAATGTCGTATTTAAAGAAACTGTAAGCACACAGAAAAGCCCATCTTAACTCATTGGCTGCTGGCAGTAACAGATTCTGATCATTGTCTGTGCTATTAAGTCAATAACTATATGTTTTGAAACTGTCCCTAAAAATGATGAATGGTTTTGTCAAGATTGCAAGATGGGGCAGTCCAAATAAGATATTTGAGCCGTGTCATGACAAAACCAACATAATGGGTTTGCGACCAGCATGAATCCAGACCAGCCTACACATCCGTGCAGTCTGATCAGGATCCATGCTGTTCGCTTACAAACTCTATAACAGAAACTGGTGGCGAACAGCATGGATCCTGATCAGACTGCTCGGATGCGCAGGCTGGTCTGGATCCATGCTGGTCGCAAACGCATTATGTTGGTTTTGTCATGGCACGGCTCATTTAGTGGGATAAAATCTCAGCTTTATATCACATCATGCTGACATGAGCTAACAACACTGTCCTTATATGATCTTGATCTGTGTACTCTCTGACAATGAAACTTGTCACACCAAAAATATACAATATATATCCAAATGAAAACAATCATACATAATATAATAGCAATGATACAAATTCACTTGAAATATTTTACATGTGTTGATGTTTAGATAGTCTTACTGTAATGCTTTCCCGCCAACAAATTTCTAACATTGGCCAATGTCGTTATAAGTCGGTCTTTTCTGGAATGTTATTTTTCACAATTTACAGTATTCAATAACCATTTATAAGCTGAATTTAGTACATATCAATAAGGAATGAGTGATTGTAAATAATCTAATATCCAAGTCTTGAAAAAATAATGTTCCGGAATATACGATTTGCAACGATATGGGCCAATGTTAGAATTTTTTGGCAGGAAAGTGTTACAGTATGACTACCTTAAAGGAACTCCACTGAGAGCCTGAAACCTAAAGACATAAAAGTTTAATTTCTTACATAGATCAGCTGGAGCACTTAAAACAGAAAGATATATAAAAGATTAGGAAATATACTCAGAAAAAAATGAAAATCATATTTTTGTGCCATATCTAGCCAGATTTGAGTGAAAACACAACCTGGGCTAATTTTCCACAATTAGAATAATTATTCTGGAAAACAACCTGAAATTTCACAACATTTATTATAACGTTTATCTCTAAAAAGTTTTTTAATGTCCCACCATATCAAAAAATGTCAAAATAGTTAGAAAGTCACTCATTACTCTTTACTATTACACAAATTTTTATTTATAATTCATTTCAGCTCCTTGTTCTTTTAAGCTTATTAATGTTTAAAGTACAAAATGTAAAACATATCTCAGGAAAACTAGTCACTCAAGATCACAATTATCAATACTTTTTTTCTTCCTTTAAATAAGATATACAATGTTACATTTTATAAAGAAATTTAATACAGTATCTATCAGTGTGGATTGGTAAGCAATTCTGCCACCATATGACAAATTTTCGTTGGTAGTTTAGCACAGAGGAAGGTAGTCTAGTACGGGTGTAACTCTCCAGGAACGATGGTTAATAAACTACCCGTCTATATGACTGAAATACTGTTGGGAAAAGGCGTAAAATGAAACAAACAAACAAACAAATCATGTTCAAAAACTATGCTTGTTATAATTTAATAATGGTTAAAATGCAAAAGTTCTTTTTTTAAAGCACAATTAAAAGAGTTTCTCCCCTTTAATTTTCAAATTCTGGAAGATTTGGAAGTAAGTGCTGATCATTTTGGTAGGGGTGGTGTCTAGAATAAAGTTCATAAACTTGCGAGTTTGTTATTTTTTGTTTAATTTTTAACTGCAAATCCCTTTTAATCTTACAATGGTTTGCGTCCCTTGGCTCTTCCATGATGGAATCCATGGGATTTTGAGGGAAAGATGTATTTTGATTTTCAGAGAGGGAAGCTACGTCACTTTCTGTAGATAACATTGTCCCTGATGTGTGAGAACTTGTTATTTGGGACTGACAGGTTGTATTTACAGAAAAAGTATCGTGTATTGCCCCATATCCAGAACAAGACTCTGCTGCTGTATAATGTTGGACAGGTCTGTGAATATCATTATCATTCACAGAACTGTTATTATCATCATAGGTGTATGTGGACATTTCAAGAGGTGCTTCTGATTTTAGAATGCTATTACTCCCTTGAACCATCTTAAATTGTTGATTCTGAAGGAAGTTGGCCTTAGCATTTCGTTTTTCAAGATTCAAGTTGATTGCTAATCCATTGCTTTTATAACCAGGATATCCAAAACCAGCAGGTTCGGCAAGTTTCTTAGGATAAGCATTTGTATCTGCAAATGACCTCATAGAATCATCAGATTCTGAAGTTGTAAAAAGTAAAACACCCTCCAGTGAGCCATTTTTTTTGGCAGCTAAAAGAGAAGAAAGTTTTATAACGGGGATGACTGTTGGTTGTGAATCTGTTTTATTTATAGAATAACAAACTTCAGCAGGAGAAATTTTACCTCCTGCAGAGATACAACAATCAGAAACATTGCTTTGACCATTGTTAATCCTCCTATTACCATCAAAAGCATTGCTTTCACCATTTAAACAACTGTTTTGAACATGAAAAGCTTGGTTTTGGCCATTAAAAGCATTGCTTTCACCATTTAAACCACTGTTTTGAACATGAAAAGCTTGGTTTTGGCCATTAAAAGCATTGCTTTCACCATTTAAACCACTGTTTTGAACATGAAAAGTGTCATTTTGGCCATTAAAAGCATTGCTTTCACCATTTAAACCACTGTTTTGAGTATCAAAAGATTGATTTTGGCCATCAAAAGCATGAACACAAATTGAATCATTTTGACCAACTAAGTCATTACTATGATCATTAAAAGTTTTGCGCCGAACATCAAAAGTGTTGTTCTTACTACCAAAAGCTTTGCTTTGACCATTGGAGGAGTAACATAGGCCTCCAAAAATTTTGCGTTGATCATTTAAAGATTTACATTTACAGAAACCATCAAAAGCTTTGCTTTGACCATAACAAGTGTTGCATGAACCATTTAATGTATTGACTTGATCATAATCAACCCTAGTATTTTTACCATCAAAAGCTTTGCTTTGATCATCAAATGTGTTTCTTTGACCATGAAAAACATTTCTATGATCATCAAAACCTTGGCTTTGACAATCAAACACTTTGCTTTGACCATCAACCGAAATGCTATTACTAAAGGGAAAATTCCCTTCATTTAACCAAGATAACAAAGACTGCAAATCATCTAATTCATCTTCAACTTTCTTGTCATTACTGTTTGCACCCTTCATTTCCCTTAAATTGACATATGATGTGTTATTTAAGGAAATACTGTAGTTCTCTTGACTAGTATCATTTGTGTTTGCACAAACACTGTTCTGTAATGAGAAAGTGTTTGCCACATGGAGATGCATCTGATTTTCCATGTTGAAATTGTCTTTCCCTTTTGATTCCATCTGTTCCTCCTCAACTTGTAATTTCTTCTGAACATCTGTTTTCTTTTTTAGATCAATATCACCGTTTTCGTCAATGATATCTGAAACAAAATCTGAAATCTGTACAAAATGTTCACACAGAAACACAAACATATACCTTGTAAATGATTCACATGGTAAGGTTTTTTTTGTATTAACTTATATGTATTATATAAACAATGCTATGCACCACTGACGAGGACTATAAACAAAGTTATCTTTTGGCAGCAAAAAGCAACACAATACAATGTAAGCCGTATAATAATGGATGTTTGATACTTTCACTGTCAAGAGTGGCAGTTGTTTATCATAATGCATGCCAGCTTAAATACATGACAAACTAAAGCAGTCCTCTCTCTCTCTCAATTAGTTCTACAGGCTGACAATGTAAGCTCCAGAGGCTGACAATGAAAGCTCAAGAAGATTGTCAGCCCCAGAGGCTGACAATGAAAGCTTCACAGGTTGACAACATATCAGACTGGTGTTTCTGTTAGTTTAACCATGCTGGAAATTTCATCTGGCATGGGGGTGCCAGATGAGTCACATGCCATACAACACCTTTATTTCAGCGCAATTTATGAATTTAACTGCATGCCTTAAAGATGATGTCATTTTCGCCGTTATGAATGAGAAAATAGTTACGGAAATGACATTAATTTCCACATGAAAATTTATTTAATTGAGGTTAAGCATTAGAAATATGATAGAATATGGTAAGATATGCAAGAAAACATATCTGGCATGTGTTTGCGGTTCAGAACAGAAGATCTATCCCTTGGGTACCCACCCATGGGCTGTAACTTGGCAAGCCTTGTTATCACCCAAATGGTGGGTACACTCTGGACTGACATTCTGCTTCAAACAGCAACACATGGCAGATGTTATTTGTATGGAATGGCTTATTGTTACATTTTTTTAAATACAAAAGGCAAGGTAATTTTAATATTTCATACCTTTACTTGTCATTAAGGAGCCATGGTTTAATTTTATTCCTCCTAATCCAGTGACAGGTATATATGGATCATCATATGGCCTGAAAGTGTATTTAACATTATTATATAATGATATGTGTGGATAACTTCATTTAAATAAGCTAAAGTCGGTGGTATATTAAACCTGACAACATAGTTTGCCAAATACTCTTATTTCTTGTCTTTTTTAAAAAATTTGATGGCCTCCTGCAACATAATCTCTGTTTCCCCTATTAAACTGACCCTTTGTTGTATTCACAAGTGTTAGGAATCAGTTTCAATGCTGCAGTATTTTGAAGAGTTAAGGAAAGAGGTGGCCTATAGATGGCCAGTTAGTTTATGTGTTTTCCTCTCAACTGCCAGTGGGTTTGATACCTACTGCTGTAAAATAAATATTACTTCTTGATTTATTCTGAACTGTCATATTAAACCTACCATGAGTATGTTTTGTTTTAGGCTGATGGAGCAATAAAGATATTGTATTGTATTGTATTAAGTTGCGTTCTGTTGTGCTGCACGGTGCTGTGCTGACGTGGTGTTGTGCTGTATTGTACTGTACTGTGCTGTGCTGTATTGAGTTAATTAGAATCCTACATTTTGCTGCATATGCAATAATTTCAAAAAACGTCAGTGCCTTGGTCACCAGTACTAGTTAAATTTTAGACACATTCTGTAAGAGATGATTTAAGGGACTCCACTGAGGTTCAAAAGCCTAAAAACATAAAATTTGAAATTTTTACACAGATCAGATGGGACAGGTTAATTAGAAGTATACTCATGCAGACATAAATTTAAATTGTATTTTTGTCGTATTCTTGGTCCTTTTTAAGTGAAAAACATTGCAAAAATTTTCAGTTTTGTGGGTTTTTTTCACAACAAGAATAATCATTCTGGAAAAACAGAGTGTGCAAATGATTTGAAATTTTGCACACAAGTTATTAGTTGAAACCTTCATCAAAAAGAACATTAATCACAAAAAATTATTTCCAGACTGGCATCATGTCAAAAATCCTCAGTGGAGTCCCTTTAAGTGAATAACATATACCATTCAGTTTAAATATCGTACCTATGAATATCTATGCATTGGGAAGCACATACTGTGTTTTTTGGCTTGTATGATGTGTCTGAATCAATAATCTCCATCACCATTTCAAAACTTTCATCTAAAACAAAATACAAAATATTCATTGCAAATATAAATATGGAATTACTTTTCCATTACAAAGTAATCATGGTTTGTCATTTTTTACTCAGGCTGCATTTTTTCCCCATATATTTGTAGATATCTTGTTATGCATCTGACTACAAACAATTTATATAACCTTTGAAGAGTGCCGCCTACTTCAGACCATTCCTGCGATTAAGTTTGGTCAAATTCCATTAGTAGTTAAGGAGAAGACATTGTTTAAAGAAATGTGGACAACAACGACAAATGATACACACAATGCCATCAGTAAAGAAAAGCTAACCTCTGAGCATTTTATGCCTAGGTGAGCTAAAAAGAATGAGTGTTGAAGTATTATTATACGAGTATGAAGTAAACACAAAATAAAGAGAACAAAAATGATCGTGATGGACTAAAATTATAAAATAATAACCTGTATAGTATGTTTTAACAAGAGCTGTCTGTAGAACAGCTTGCTCAACTATTATCAGCTCTTGAAAGTAAAATAAGAGTTGTGATAACTTGTAGGATTTGTAGAATTTTCATACTGCTAAAAAGGGCCATAATTCTGTCAATTTCCATGTAAGAGTTATGAGCCTATAACAGTGACCTCCTACTATGCTTTCAAATAAGTGTGAAAAGTTTCAACCCATTCCCTTTTGTAGTTTTGGAGAAAACTTCCATGCAAAAACTCAACCAAAGTGTGAAGCCAACACTGACACCGAAGCCCGGTGAGTACAATACAGCTCTCCTTATTCTTCAAATAGTCAAGCTAAAAAATATTCCGTAATATTTAAGGATTATAATATATAATTATAATTTAGGAATGATACATACTATAATCTGGTCCGATGCTAAAATTACCACAATGTTTGGCATTTAACAACTCAGCATTCTGTTTCTCATGTTGCCTCATACTTGTAGATATAACATTTTCCCCTTTAATGTTTCCAGGAAAGTGCTACAAAAATTATAGACAAGACATATTAGAAGATAATCTTTATGATGTAAGAAATGTGTAAAAGATAATTTGGTCTGCCATGACACAAGTTATATTCATTATGAAAATAATTCTAATAAATGTGCATAGAACTATGTTTCAATCTTATTTTTTATTGTACCTCACATAAATGTTTTACTATATAGCCTAATGTGACGTCACTTTGTGTTATTTCGATATAAATCATCCTGGAAATTAATATCACCAAGTCAATAATTTTTTTGCAATATTCCCCAGGGGAGAGTAATCTATACAGACTTAAGAAAAAAACAACATAATGTTCTAGTTCTCTCCCCTAATAAAAATCTATGATGAATGGCTTTCAGAGCAATAATGCATAGCGGTGAAAAAATTACATTAAAATGTTGGTTTGGTATAGAAAAGAAATAATGCATGTCTCTCAGAGTAACAGTGCATATTAGCAACCGTTGAACTAAATATCTCAGCTCTCGGGTTGCTTATATGCACTATTTCCCTGAGAGACGTGTTATTTATCTTATTTTACCAAATCTTTAATCAAATTTTGTTCTAAATTAACAGTGTATAACTCACAAAAGTAAACTCACTATTTCCTTTTAAGATACAACTTATACCATAAAGGGAATAGAAATTGTTACAAGAAAATAAATTAACCAATTAAAACAACACTTAAAAACCAATGTGCCATACTACATAAGGTTTTATGAACAATTGATGATCCCACTTTTCAAATATTTTATTATTTTTAATGGGAAAAGTGTATCTTTGCAGTGAATACATTTTTAGGGGGAAAAGGCAGTATCATTTACAAAAAGAGAAAAATCATGTGTTTGTACAATATGATATTCAAGTCATTTCACTTTATGAAAAAAAAAATTGCCTGGGAAACAATCTATGTAAGGGTTCCTCATTTATTTCATATTAAAATGATTGTTAGGCAACCACTCATTCTCAGGTGATAATGGCCGATGTTTCAGATCAACATTGGCAAGTAGCTTTCATTTTAAAATCTCATCTGATGATAATAATTATCTTACCTCTAGAGCCATATTTTGAGGAAAGTTTTCTTGTGAACTTGTAAGTCCCGTATTTACAGGCAACCTGTTGTATAAACCAATTTTTTTATGTTAATATATTACAAATATATACATTATACACAAAAAGACACTTTGATTTACTTAATTAATTTTAAGTAAGCAAACAGAGGCACAGAGGTGATATGTGTGTGTTTTTATTTATCTTGAGGGCACAAGATACAAAATCATGCACACACAATACTATGTCATGCACACTAGATTATATGTCATGCTCACAAGTTACTATGTCATGCACACAAGATACTGTGTCATGCACACAAGATACTATGTCATGCACACTAGATTATATGTCATGCTCACAAGTTACTATGTCATGCACACAAGATACTGTGTCATGCACACAAGATACTGTGTCATGCACACAAGATACTATGTCATGCACACAAGTTACAATGTCATGTGCACAAGTAACTATGTCATGTGCACAAGTTACTATGTCATGCACACAAGTTATTACATCATGCACACAAGTAACTTTGTCATGTGCACAAGATACTATGCCATGCACACAAATTACTATGTCATGCACACAAATTGTTATGTCATGCACACATAATACATTGTACTATGTCATGCACACAAAGTACTATGACATGCACACAAGTTACTATGTCATGCAAACAATTTATTATGTCATGCACACAAGTAACTATGTCATGCAAACAATTTATTATGTCATGCACACAAGTAACTATGTCATGCACAAAATATACTATGTCATGTGCACAAGATAATATGTCATGCACACAAATTACTATGTCATGCACACAAAGTACTATGTCATGCACACAAGTTACTATGTCATGCACACAAATTACAATGTCATGCACACAATTTATTGTCATGTACACAATATACAATGTCATGGGCACAAAATACTATGTCATGCACACAAGTTACTATGACTTTGTGGTGCAAACCAGATTATTCAGTTTAAGATAAATTGTTTCTGCCTTCAGCAATTTTTGAAATTATAAAAACATTCATGTAAGTGTTTTCTGATCGACTAATTATCTTGTGCCCACAACATAGTAACACATGCACACAAATTAATTATCTCGTGCTCATGACATAGTAACTTGTGTGCATTACTTATCTTGTGCACACAACATTGATAGTATTTCGTGAGCACAACAAAGATTTTATGCACAGTGCTTGAAACAAACATTTTTTATAGGCTATCTTAATATACATATTCATGCATGCACACAAGTCAATTATGTAAAATATTTGATAACATGTAAAACTATGTGACTAGCGCCTGTGATTTTATACAAGGAAATTAAAATATACTTTACATGTCAAAATCTTCCATTTCTCAAACTGTTGTGGTTATCTTTAATTTCCTGGTACCACAGGCAGAACTGGTTGAACTATCTTTATATGGTCTGCTTTAAAATTTCCGCAATTAACAGTGAACCAGTGCGAGTCACTTTGTCTGGTGTAAACCTGGTGACAGAAGCGATTTTTCTACTCAAATAAATAGCTTGCCTTGTTTCAATGTCTGAAAAAGAAATGAAAAGAGAAACTATAATGTATGTTTTTTACATGATGTAAAATTTTGAAATTCCAGAGTATTGCAAGAACTTTCCTTGAGCAGGGGCATTATAATTTAACTTAATCTTTCCTGAGGCAAATTCAGCAAATCAAATACATTGTCGACTTGTAGAAAACATTATTTTCTGATACAAGATAAAAAATTTAATTAAAATTTCATATTTGACCTTGACTGTCAAGGTCATTTGCAGATCAAGGTCATACTTAAAATATTCAACATTTCTGTATTGTTAAATGTCATGGTCAATTTCATATTAGAATGTCAGTTATGCCTTAAGTGTAGTATTATGCCCATATATAAATCCCTAAAAAATAACAAAGATATAACAAATAAGTTTCAATGTTTATATACTTTTTGGTCATGAAAATTAAATAGAAACAATCATAAATCAATCAACAGTCATCATCAGAAATTGTTGGATTGATGTAGATTCAATTACTGTGAGATATGCACATATTCAAATCTAGACCAGTAGTCTAACATATATATGAGCCGCGTCATGACAAAACCAACATAATGGGTTTGCGACCAGCATGGATCCAGACCAGCCTGCGCATCCGTGCAGTGTGATCAGGATCCATGCTGTTCGCTATCAGTTTCTCTACTTGTTATAGGGTTTGTAAGCGAACAGCATGGATCCTGATCAGACTGCGCGGATGCGCAGGCTTGTCTGGATCCATGCTGGTCGCAAACCCATTATGTTGACTTTGTCGTGACGCGGCTCATATATATATTTTGAGAGAGATTTGTTACCATCTGATGTCTTAAATCAGCATATCTCCTGAAGATAACAGAAAATCTAACAAAGTACTAATGTTTCAAAATGACTCATTAAATACATAAAATAGTTGAAAGAAATCAAAATACAAATGTATTTCTTTAAAATGTTAATATTTTGACAATTCTGGTCAAATTTTGTCCATCATATATATAATGAACAGCAAAGTGCTCAAGTCCATGATAACCTTTGACCTTAAATTCATAAGTGGCCATCTGCTAGTCATGACCAAACTCCACACCATATCATTGGATTGTAACTTATGTTTCCTTGTTATTGGTCAGACAAGCAATTAATGGTCAAGGCCAACATGGCCTTGACCTTTGACCTCAATATCAATAGGGGTCATGTACTGGCCATGGGCTTCTAAAGTTATTGATCAAACATTTTAGGAAGGAGCAACCAATAGACTGATACCCAATCCCAATATGGGTATATATCATATTTTTATATAGAACTGTCATAGAGTTTTTCCTGTACTTATTAAAACTTTCTCTGAAACAGTACATTGTAATTTTATAATAAAAATTTCTGGCATGTAGTGAAAGAGTTAACAGGAAAAGCTTACCTTAACTCATACTTTCTGTAAAGTTCCACAATATATTAATAGTCTTTTTTTTACTGACTGTCCATCCTTTAACAATTCTAATATTTTAATCACAATTTTCTTAAAATTTAAGTAATTAAAAATTAAAATTTAATTTAATAAAAAAGTACCCTTTCCGATCTATATAGTCTGGTTGACTGTTCTTTGAAGTTAAGGTAACTTGAACAAATACAGATCAAAATACTACATGACCTACATTTAAATAAAGGAGTGTTTATCTTGTATCTATACACAATGGCAGATATCCATAAAGGAAATGACTCAACTTTAAAAAACCTTTTTAAAAAAATGTGTGCAGGTTTATAAAATTTTATAAAGTTTTTATTAAATAAATTTGTTCTCAAATTATATTTTAAATTTTACTTTCTTTTAATGTAACTTTGTTCTTCACCATATATTATCATTAATTATAATAGTTAACGGTTTATTCAATCATTGAATCTTACTATTTATTGTTATATAAGCGGACAGTACGCTCTTCAAATATAATAAGGACAGTATGGCCTTCCATATAACAAGGACTGTAAGCTCTTCAAATTATATCAAAGGAAAGAATGGCCTTCCATATAACAAGGATAGTAAGCTCTTCCATATAACTCTGCCCTAATTAATTTCTTAATATCACCAACATGAATTAAATTTAATTCTGACTTTAACTTTTATCCCAAATAACTCTAATGTTTTATAATTCAAGTCGACCCTCTAAAAATAAATCTGCATTGACCTCTCAATAACTCTGACTTAAAATTCTTCCATTAGAAAAACTCTGACCCTACAAAAACTCTTGACTAAAAATTATCTCTATTTCTAAAAAAATTGTTACCTCTATGACCAATAACTCTTTCTCTTACTTCCAAAAACTCTGACCTTATTTTTACTTCTGATAACTCTGACCTTACCCCTTCTTCCAATAATATAACCTTACTTCTGCTCTAGTCTTACTTTTACTTCAAATAACATTGACCTTACTTCTTCATCAATTACTCTGACCTTATTTCTACATCAATTTCTCTGACCTTATTTCTACTTCCAATTTCTCTGACCTTACTTCTACATCAATTACTCTGAACTTATTTCTACTTCCAAATTCTCTTACCTAACGTCTACATCAATAACTCTGACCTTATTTCTACTTCCAACAACTCTGACCTTTGTTCAACATAAATTACTACCAAATAACCTTTCTTACTAAATTATAAACAAACCCAGTATCAGTCCAGTTCTTAGATCTCTCACTATGACCAGATCTTTTGCATACAAATGATAAAATATGGAGAACTTTTGTTTAAATACCATCCACTAAGCTTAATGCTCAGGGCTGGACTGTGAATTGAACAACCTGAGTTCAATTACAGGATGGTGCAGGTCACTTTTGTTGTGATTAATCATAAAATCCTTTCTAACATCATTTGCACTATACCTCTACTCTGACATGTACTGGAATTATCAGTTTCTTGTGTAAGTGAAGGCATTACTAAGTACTGGTTAAATTAATTACAGCTTGACAGCCAGTCCAGTATGACGCGGTGGCTGACCTGTGCTCTGGTGAATTCAAAGTAGCTAATACTATCATGATCTGAAGTGTGAACTACCAGCACAACTACTTCTTGTTTAAAAATTATCTGTTGTCATCCAAAATCTAAGTCCAGTCAGTTACAGATATGTTCCATCCAAGATGTATGTATTTTTAGTACACAAGAAAATACATTTATTATATACTTATAAATGAAATATTGAGAAACATTGATGAAATAAATTGTGTATTTTCATTTTCAGTATTTTTACTGGTGTCTTGCCGGACTGCTTTCTTCTAAATTCAGCCAAATACACAACATTTAAGGGAAAATCTTTAAAATTGTAATATCAAAAAGAAAAATATATATAATAAACAGAAAATTCAAATTTTTTCTATAAATACATGATTTATTTTCATCTTGTGGCATAAAAAATTTATACCATATTTCACTCGTGGCTACCGCCACTCATGAAATATTTATTTTCATACCACTTGATGAAAATAAATCATGTATTCATAGAAAAACTTGAATATCCTCTATGTATTAAAATTTAAAACTCAGCCTAACTTTTATAAACTTCTTGTATACGTCTATTTTTTCTTTATTTTTTTTCTTACTTTTTTTACCTTTTTTCTTACATTTTTGTAACATTTTTTTCCCTTACACTTTTTAGACATTATTGGGAGATAATAAAAAAAATCTGTCTTCAACAATCCAAAAACAGACAATATTAGTCATTCTTAAAATGTGACGTCAGAGCACAGGTACAAAATTATTTTATCATTTGTATTATTCATGTAGAGCTCAAATATAAAATATATAAAATACAATGTTGACGTCAAAAACATTTTTACTTATAAAATGATTATTCAGTGCTTAATACACAAACCTTTTGTCATAAAAAAAGTATTAATAATGCATAAATACCTAGTAAAAAGACTTGGGGGGGGGGGGGGGGGGGTAAAAAAAATAAACAAATCATCAATCAAAATATTACCTCAGATTTATCCACACACTTAATATCGTCTGTTTTTAATGATTGAAAAACTGTTTTAAAAATGTATTTGTTTGAAATACAATCTATCTCGCTAAAATGAAGTTCTTGTTAAGAATCAAGTTACGAATGAAGTAAGTTACTATAATTATCTCTTGGCTGCTGTATAATCATTTCATTGGTTATCGTATCATTATGTCAAATTGTAAGAAACGCCCACTTTACAGTAGCAATTCAGCAAAATCTTCAGCGAGTTTTAAACTTCCTAATCGGTGACGCACTAATGTAATATGACACTATTCAAGGGTTAGTCATATTTACATTAGATACAACAAACATGTGGTTTCTACATTTAAGTACTTTAAAGTGACTAAGCTTATTTTTTCATGTTAATCATTCTTAAGTTCAGCTGAATTGACAATATACATTATTTCAAAAGATTGACAGTTATATTGATATACTTAATGGTCATTGACCTACAGTTGATATTGGAAAATGTTTATAAATGATAAAATATAAATCTGTGTAAAATATAAAAAGACTGCCCAACTCTTTTAGTATAGGTTAAAGTTTATTAGTACACATTTTCAAATTAAATTGGTCAGGCACAGCAAAGCCATATGCCACCAATTTAATTTTGTTAATATATATCTGTACTAGTAAATTTTAACCAGCTTTGTGTTTTAGATTATTTTTATAAACAGTCAATTTATTATTTGGTTTTATTAACCTGTCAATTACATACTGATTACACGGTCGATGCACACAATATATTAATCCTCGGTAGATTTTTTGGAAAGTTCCGTGAGATGTACGCTGTACGATGGAATTTAATTTAATTTGTATCTGAACTAAGTTAACTGATCGTTATTATTTCGCAATAGGGTAAAGCACGAGTTTATAATCTAAGTGCCATAGATGTTTTAAGTTCGAGACTGCGTTGGTACATGTTTCTTTTTCTTATTAATACTTTCAACATTATTAAAGCTACACATGATTATTTTTTATGTTATTCGTTTTGTTTTATTATGTTTTACTTAATTTTGTAAAGTCTATACATTTTTAAATAACAATGTTTTAAGAATTCATGTTTAAAATTAAAACGGATTAAAATCAGTAAATGTCTTTTCAATGCCGTAAAACACACTACAAATCGGGTCCATTAAAATATACTGCAAAAATAAAGAGAGAGTAAAGCCTAAAAGAATGTCATCAGTAAGGATCGAACCACAGACCTCTCAATTATCAGGCATTCTCGTAACCGAGTGCGCTATTGCGAATTAACGAAAACCTTCACATTAAGTTGGCCTGACTTTCAAAATATGACTTATATACTCCACATTAATTCTCGTAAACTACACGGACCAAACCGAACTGGGGTTGAATATTTAAATGAGTGCTATAATGTATTCATAATTGACAGGTCAATAAAATCAGACTATACTGGACTCAAAGATTAACAGTTTGTCAATTTACCAAAGTAAATGTGTAACCATTCATTTGAAATACTGCAATCCTGTTGGACAAAAAATACTATGAAGATGCTAAAATTGTGTAGCCAACTGCTCCTATATAAATATTTTTGTGAATTGATATTATTTCGCAAATATTGGATCACGCAAAAATTATTTCTTTTTTAGGCAAACTTTCTTCTATCACTTGAAAACTCATTTTCATACGGCATCTTACGTAAATAAGTTTGACTGTTCTGATACTGAGATTAATTTTTCTCATTGTTTGTTTGCCTAACTTTGGTCATAACAATTCACAAATGTTTAAATGAAACAATATCTGTGTTGAAAACACAACACGTACTTCATATAACAAAAGAATGTTTCAAAATATGTCTAAGGTATTGTGTGTTTAGGTCCTTTATAAAACTAAAAATGAATATTTGAGCCGTGTCATGACAAAACCAACATAATGGGTTTGCAACCAGCATGGATCCAGACCAACCTGCACATCCGCGCAATCTGATTAGGGTCCATGCTGTTCGCTTACAAACCCTAATACAAGTGGAGAAACTGACAGCGAACAGCATGGATCCTGATCAGACTGCACTGATGCCCAGGCTGGTCTGTATCCATGCTGGTTGCAAAACCACTATGTTGGTTTTGTCATGACACAGCTCATTTCAAAACACAGCCACTTATAACCAAAAATATTTTGGTATAAATTAGGGATTTGCAATTGGATTTTGTTCACCATTAAGCCATACAAAATTCAACATATCATACTTCCTATTATTAAGTACTTAGAATTTTATTTACAATTCATTAACAAGAAAATAGAGAAAATAACAAAACAAATATATAGGTGTTAATTTTGTTATAGCCAATTGGAAGGACATACAAAGTATTAGAACTGGTTAACATACAGATTAAGTGGGATTCAGAGACTGTTCATTTTGTCATGATTTTTACAGTCTTTCTGTGATTTTTCATTTTACAGAAGCCTATTTGTTTTTTATTTTTTCTGTTTTCTTACCGATGAATTGTAAATATAATTCTAATTAGTTAGTTTGATATATGGAATTTTGTATGGTCTAAATTTGAACAAACTTACCGTCCACAAATAACCGATTTACAGAAAAATGTAAGTGTCTGCCTCCGAGTGTATTAATAATTAAGGTATTAAACAACTGAATAGAACGATTACAATAACCGCATATTCTAACATGTACCTGTTTAATTAATGGTATCACAAAAACAATATTAAATTCAAGAAATCATATTTTTCGTAAATATTTCGCTACGCAAAGTCTACTTTTAAACATTCGCTAAATTTTTCACTACGGTATTTCTTTTCTGGATACACTACTAAATGCCTCTTTTAGTTTAACACTACATGTATGGTGAACTTGTCCTGATTTAATTAAGGAACAGTCCATTTACAGTCTAAGGGATTTCATCATGAAGATGTTTGTTCGGTTTTACGGCACATCAACACAATTTAGGTCATGTGGCACTGAAGTAGGAACTTACCTTTGGGTGTTCCTAGTGGTTAGTGGTACTGGCTATTGGAATATTTGAATCAGAAAAACAAGATTTTTTGTTGTTATTCTCCCATCATTTTATTAACAAGTAAGACTTTATAATGATATCAAAACAATAAAAAGGTACACACGTATACTTTATTACATACATCATATGTATATCATAATCTAAGAAAACAAGTAACATGAAACAATTTCTACACAGAAGCACAAAAAAGAAAACCTAAAACTTATTTTGTACCTAGATTTTCTCGTGTGGACAAACTTTTCAAGCCATATAAGGCATACAATAGAATCATAATAACTTCTTAACGTCTTAAATGTCCTGTACACATGTCAGTTTCTACCACAAGTCTTTCGATACGTAATTCAATGCAAAGTTAATATTTGATTTTTACATGATAAACCTCTTCCCACGTAAAACTATCAAAACAATCAAACCTCCCACACAAATGCCATATTTATCATAATGACAAAAATTTCATACTAGAAAAACTGAAGAAATGATTAAAACATAGGCAGGGGGGGGGGGGGGGGGTTGGCATTTTACAAACTATATACTGCTTTAAATCAACTCTTGACAATATAAATTTTTGTTTATCAAAGGCAAAGCCAATGGATGCTACCCTAATATAAACATATCTAAATGTACTTCAATAAATAATTTTAGTTTCTATGAGCCAAAGTGTAAAAAAGAAGCTATTTCAAGCACATGTGACCTTGAACATGACCCCAGCGACCCTTAACTTGACCCATAGTTAGAGGACAATCAAATCAACCTATTTTTAAAAAATATTGAAGATATTGGTCCATAATAAAGAAGTTGCTAGGAAACACTATTAATGTGTGACAAAACTAATGAAGAACGAATGGGCTTCTGCATCTCCCCGATTTTTTTCAGGGAGCATAAAAATGGGGACCGTGTGCCATCATGTTGGATAAAAATAGGGCAAAAAGATTTAAACTGATTATTTGTATAGCACTTAAGTCAATACATAAGTATGTTGCTGATAAATATCCCCTGCTAGAACCCCTCACTCCTCCTAAGGTAAGAAATATTACATATCCCCTCCCCAACCTCCTTACCACGCCCCAGCTAGAAAATATTACATATCTCCTCCCAGACCAGGTCATTTCTCCCCAGGGAGGAAATATTACATATTCCATCCCCGACCCCTCACTCTTTCCCAGCTAGGAAATATTACATATTCCATCCCCGACCCCTCACTCCTTCCCAGCTAGGAAATATTACATATTCCATCCCCGACCCCTCACTCTTTCCCAGCTAGGAAATATTACATATTCCATCCCCGACCCCTCACTCTTTCCCAGCTAGGAAATATTACATATTCCATCCCCGACCCCTCACTCTTTCCCAGCTAGGAAATATTACATATTCCATCCCCGACCCCTCACTCTTTCCCAGCTAGGAAATATTACAGTTACCTATCCCCTCCAAGAGATCCTTACTCCTCCCAGCTAGGAAATATTACATATTTCCTCCCCGAACCCCCGCTCCTCTTGTTTATTAAGCTGAGTCATGATAAAATGTGTCACTTCTACAGTACTCAGTACTGCTTTATCCAAACTAAAAAAAAAATTTATCAAAATATAAATTAAAAACTAGATTGCATTTGAGTAAAATGCTATGCCACCGCATGGTTCAAATTTCATAGCTGTACATCAAAGGACAAGAAAGTAGGTCACTGTCCCCTTGGGCAAGGCATAATTTTGACCCAAGGGTTTAATTCAAAACAATTTTGATACAGGTCCACCTAACAACATTTCAAGTCAAATATCTAAGCTATAGCTTTCTCCCATTAAGAAAACATTTGTTTTATTTTCTGTTTTTACTATGTGTACATAATGAGAATCACTGCCCCCGGGCAGGGCCAATTTTGACACCAGGGGAAAATTTTGAACAACTTTGGTAGAGGACCTATAAATGATATTATATATCAAACATCAAAGCTCTATGCCTTGTACCTTCAGACAAAAATATTTTTTATTTTTTCACTATATGTACATAATGAAAATCAATGACCCCCGGGGTGGAACCAATTTTGACCCCAGGGCTATAATTTAAACAATCTTGCAAGAGGTTCACTACACAATGTTTCATGCAAAATATCTTAACTCTAGCCTTTGTAAATTTAGAGAAGATGATTTTTTAAGTTTTTACTATATACATATAAGGAAAACCTATGGCCACCGGGGGCGGGGCTAATTTTGACACAAGAGGCAAAATTTGAATAACTTTTGTAGATTACCTTTAGATGATATTATTTAACAAATATTAAAGCTCTAAGCCTTGTACCTTCAGACAATAAGATTGATTTATTTTTTACTATATGTATATATTGAAATCAATGACCCCAAGGGTGGGGGCAATTTTGACCCCAGGGCTATAATTTGAACAATCTTGCTTACTACAGGTTTACTACACAATGTTTCATGCAAAATATCTAACCTCTAGCATTTGTCAATTACTAGAAGAATTTTTTTTTAAGTTTTTACTATAAGGAAAACCAATGACCCCTGGAGCGGGGCCGATTTGACCCCAGGGCTATAATTTGAACAATCTGGGTAGAGGTCTACCAGACAATGCCTTATGCAAAATATATAAGCTCTAGGCCTTTTGGGTCTTAACAAGAAGATTTTTAAATTTATTCTTATAATTCCTTTTGGTTGCCATGGCAACCAGATTTCTGCATGGAATGAAATTTTTTGAACAACTTTGGAAGCCCTTCACCCAAGGAACAATCCTGCCAAGTTTGGTAGAAATTGGACTAGTGGTTTTTCACAAGAAGATTTTTTAAGTTCACTATATAATCTATATAACACACACACAAACACACGCACACACACACAGGTGAATCGCTATATGCCACCGCATCACAGATGCTGCGGTGGCATAAAAAACAAAAACTTACAGAATACTCGTTTCAGAATACTACTTTTTTTAACTGACTGCTCTATGTGCATCAAATGTTTTCCAGTTAATGTTCTATTTCACTTAATTCCTTTTTCTGTTAATAGTTTGAGTTATCTTTTCCTTGAATTATGATTGTACATGTATATATTTAAAACCCTGTTATCCTATATCCTATAACTTCATTACACATGACTGTATTTTCATTGTTAATGCTCTGATTTCATTACAATGCCAATATGAATTAATTGTATGCAATATTATCTTAAAATGTGTTGTTGTTTTTTTTCTTTTTATTATTATTATCTTTTTGTTCATGTCAGATACAAGCTTAAAGCTTATGTTTTGTACTGTTAATCATAACTGAATATAAATATAGTTTGTCTTACTGTCTTAAATACCACTTTAACTTTTACCAGTTGCTCTCAAGAGCTAACCTAATTTTTCCACTTATAACAGCTACCGTTATGTTCATTTGTTTGATTGGGTTTTACGTCACACTGACACACTACATTGTATAGGTCATATTAGGGCGAAACAGTTATGTTAAATACTATACAATGAAGACATAAGTTGTTTTTTCCGTTTTTAATCGATTTCTGTGGAATGCTGAAGATAATGATTATAAACTACTTCACACATAATGATATACTTGACTGCCGGTAGGAAAAAAGAAATTTTACCCATGACATCATTAATGTTTGATTAATGATTGGTATTGCAGTATTCGCCATATTTCTACAATTTAAAGGCTATTTTTGCGTATTTTGACCTCTTTTTTTTAATTTATGTGGATTGTAAGCACCGTTTACAATGTATAAATAAGTATCTTTGATCACTTCACAATATTTTACTTTTAAATACATTTTTAAAATTTATTAAAATGGACTTGGAGACATGCTGCTTTAAAATCTAAACAAAATAGGTAAACACCATATGAATACATAGTACCATTTAATATAATAGGAGTTAATCTGTTACTGCTCTAAGGGGACACTTATGGCCACTATACATTTTCATTAATCAAGGAAAATCTCTAGTGTAATTATGTACATTACAATGTTATCCTCGTACTTACATGTACAACAAAATACATGGGGTTTAAAGTCATTAAAATATACTGGCATTATCTTCCACTGACATATTATTTCTTGATCTTTCCATAAACTCCTATCCCTCCCCTGTTTCACCCTTTTGCATTCTCATCTACCCTAACAATCCACGCCTCTATTCTTGCATTCAACCTAGATCTTCCCTGCCCTCAAATTGCTTCATTTCCACTACTTTCTGTTTTCCAGCCCATAATTTACTTCACACCTGCCCTCTTCCCTGCGTCAACCACCATACTCTTCTTCTGACCAAGCCTACTCTCCTCCCCTCATTCCTGTATCCCTTCATTACCCTCTTCCCTGCATCACCCCATACTCTTCTTCCAACCACCCCTCCTCTCAACCCCTCATTCCTGTATCCCTTCATTACCCTCTTCCCTGCATCACCCCCATACTCTTCTTCCAACCACCCCTCCTCTTAACCCCTCATTCCTGTATCCCTTCATTACCCTCTTCCCTGCATCACCCCCATACTCTTCTTCCAACCACCCCTCCTCTTAACCCCTCATTCCTGTATCCCTTCTTTACCCTCTTCCCTGCGTCACCCCATACTCTTCTTCCAACCATCCCTCTTCTCCTCCCTTCATTCCTGTATCCCTTTCCTACCCTCCTCCCTTCATACCCTCCTTCATTCACCCCTACCCTCCTCACTACACTCATACCCTCCTCCCTACACCCTTACCCTCCTCCTTACACCCCTACCCTCCTTCACATGTCCCCTCCAAATGTATTTTACATATTCCAAGAGTTAAAGCTCTATTTTTTTTTTATATAAACCTGAAACAATATTTCTTCAACAAACAAAAATACACACAAAAACACTCATAAAGAAAAATGATTTAACAAATCTTATTCCACTATTGTAAATAAATCACATTTTATAATGCAGTACTTATTTACTAATTTTAAAAAAAAACATACTGAGCAAAAATTAGAACATGATTGTGCTATTAAACAAAACAATACTACAAAAATGTGACTTTTGCAATTATACATAATAAAAAATAAATAAAATTTCAGGGAAATTAGTAATTATTAATGACCATTAAAACAATTCCAATATCAAAAGACATTTTCCCCCATTTTCTTGTGGAAAGCATATGATATACAAAACTGTCGGAGGACAATTCTCAGAACTTCCCGTTCAACCCTCGTATTGCACTAAAGGGCCAGGCAATATTAGCCAATACGCAAATTTGTTTAAGGAATGAAAAATAATCTTTCAGCTACGGTAGTCATTACAGAGTGTTCTCCCTTTGATAAAAACTGTAATAAGGATTTTTAAATGACTTAGTATACCCATAGTCTGAGTCAGCCTTAACCTATTGAAATGATCTTAAAAAGCATTCCTGTCAAACAATTTTAATTCTTCCCATCGGTTTAAAATATAATGGCCATAAAAATTTGAAATCAATACATTATGACCTTGATCCAAGGACTCTGTACAATTTACATCATCTATTTATGGTTGATATTTCAGCCAAACAGTTTCCAGTTTAAAATACACAAAGTGGAAACAAAATTACTAATTGATGGATAGCCGGGTTCATAACTTTAAATGCCAAAGTTCTTTCGGTCATCAAATATAAACATATTTTCACTGGCATATTCAAAACAATAAAAAGAAAACATTTTACATTTATTTCATGTTGAATGGTAAGTATGTAACTTCAGATATCTTATAAAATTGATAAGCCATAATTAAGTGATGTATATTTTATTTCTAATTTATCAAGTTCAGTAAAACCTTAGTTAATATGACATCATGGAAGGAAGACTAAATATAGACAAACTCAGAACCAACTGATTCAAAGTTAGGAACGCAACCTAAACAATTTGGGCACCAAGGATTCTTAAAATACACGTTTCAAGATATTGGAAGTAAAAATAAGACTACATTTTTTTCAATACAGAAATCTAGTTCTTACAGACATGTTTGACTGTACTGTATAACATACAAGTGAAATATAATATTTGATCAGTGAAATATAACCATGACTTAAATTTCTCATTTTTTGTCATTCACTACCAACGCTTTTAAGGTTTTCAGTACAAAATAGCAAAAATAAAAATACTACATAGCAAACAAATAATCTCTTTTTATATCAACCAAATTTTTAAAGGGGCTCCACTGAGGTCAAAAAGCTTAAAAATGTAAATTTGAATTTCTTATATGTAGATCAAGTAAAGCACTTAAGATAGAAAAATCTGCAAAAGATTTTTTTTCTATGCAATTCTAGCCCAATTTGAGAGAAAAGTGTTGCATTTGGGTCATTTTGGCACAACAAATTTGATTATTCTGGAAAAACAGCATGACAGAATTATCTGGAAATTTGCATACAAGTTATTGATCCAAATTTACATCAAATCATACACAAATCTTGAACAAATCATACACAAATCATGAACAAATATGTCCAGTCCCATCATGTCCTGAAAACCTCAGTGAAGTCCCTTTCAGTTTTTTAAACTTAATTTCAATTAACAAGTGTCAACAAATATATAACTGTCATGAGACAGCATAACAACATAGACTGACATTCTTTGGAGTTATTTTAAAAAATCAATAAAATTGCTATCATTTTTATTCCCCCTGTTTCAGTCAGACACCAGGAAATATTTCACCCTGTAAGATAATATCAAATAATTCTCGTGAAATGTATCCTTGTTCAGTCATTTCCTTCTCAGCTATTATACAATAACGGCGAACGACCTGCATTAGTTTCGAGACGTCCCATCCTCTGTCAATCACAGTATCCACTACATCCTGTAACTGTGAATATATAATACATAAACTTTACAGGCCCATTATGCCTCAGATATACATATTTTTTTAATTTGTTAGAAATATCAAACATGTTTAATAATGTTTCAATAATGGATTCATAGCAAATAAGATGTTAAACAACTGAAGAAAGTAGCCCTAAACATGCAGTAATGTGTCATAAAGGTAGCAAAATGTAAACTATGTAGTATTTTGACTTCCATACAAAATTCTCATTCACTATACTTATACTACTTGCAAAGACCTTAAGAAGCAAAAGATAGTTCATCTGTATGGCAATATGAGTAATTTTTTGAAAACTGTAACAAGATACCAAAGATTTTGAGAAATAAAAATGATAGCAATTCTAAGGCATAATGGGCCTATAACAATACTGTCAAATGATGTAATTGATTTCCAAAAGTAAAGTATTTTTGTAGTATTTAGAACCCAGAAACACTAGAGATATAAAATACATGTCCGTACAAGACGGGGTGCATAAATCTTGCTTCCATTTAATATGAAGTATGCAACTTTATATATAGTTGTTCATCTCATGATGCGTGTGAAGGTGATTTGTAAGAGATCTTTTTTAACTTGTCAGTTTCTAAGACAAAGTCGAGCTATTAAGAAATGTGCAGCAAAATCTTCGTTGTTGCAATTGACATGCATAAACTTTAATGTAGCCCACTTACATTTTCAAAGATATCAACATGAAACTTGGAATACATGCTGATCATAACAAAGTTCAGCTGTAAGACAAAATGCATAATTTTGAAAGCAAAATTTATGCAATTATGCCCATTTTTAACTAAGAATTTTCAACAGATGAGCTTTAACACCGCATTCTGTGCTCTTGTTTGTTCAGTATTCATTGACATATAGAATACCATAAAAATACATCAGTATCCGTTGTTCTATGTGATACCTTAGAATATGAGCAAGTGACCTTAATTAATTCCTTGCTTACTGATAACTTATGCCCAGTAGCATTAGCATGACTTATATGCATAGATCATACAGACAAATGATTTTGATAATTCTTTAATAATATGTCAAATAGTCAAGCTAATAATTTGCGGGGCTTCCATTAAATTCCAAAACTTGGAAGCCAGAGACTGCAAAATGTCTGACATTGGAAGTTATATTATACAGGTAAAGAAGGAAAAGCATTATATTTTAGAAGTCACTAAATTGACTTCCAAACTTCCACCAATGGAAGCCCTGTAAATATTTGTATCTGAATCACACAAAAAGTGAAATACCTTGTCCATTTGTGGATTTCTGAATGTGTAATACAACAAACAGGGACATCCAGCGTAACTTGCTGCCATCCACTGTAGTAGGGACTTTAAGTGAGGATCTCCACCAAATGCTCCACAACCCCAGTTACCTGTAGCAACTGGTCTACCATATTGTCTCTGTAAACAATTACACATTAAATTATGCTTTAACTTGTGATATAAAACACATTAAAACAAATGGATAACATATAAGTGAAATATAATATTTGATCAGGGAGTATTTCTCTGGGAACATGTCACTTAATGCCGGCATTTTAGTTCAACTTTTTTAATCTAGGTAGTATTGGTTTTAACGGTTTACCGTACAGATCATAGCAGTAAGCCACTTTTAATTCACCAGAGCACAATTCAGCCACTGCATCAGTATACTTTCAATATGTACTTATATTTTACAACAAAGTTCTTACACTAGATCAAAACTTAATCCTTGGTTTATTTCAACTCATTACATGATAATAACATTGCAATACTGCCAGAAAAGGTATTTAGTCCTCCAATTCATTTGATATCTTTAGATCTTAAGAAAAGTAACTCAATGTAAATTTGTAAGTGTTCTTTCCTTGGCAGGCTGTTAAACTGTTTACCAGTACAAAATGCCCTAACATTAGCAAAGAAAGCTATAACTTCTGTATTTGCCAGAGCAGAAGTACAGTGTTCATGATTGAAGAAAGGATTTCATGATAAATCACAACAAATGTGACCTGCATCATACGGGAATCAAACCCGGGTCACGCGATTAAAAGACCAACAGTGATACTTTCATACTGTTTAGTAACTACATCTTTCAAAATTTCAAATTACTTTCATGTAGCTTATTATAATACTTGTAGGTAACTTGCCTTGAAAACAAGAGCTGTCACTGAAAAGTGACTTATGCCCCCGAAAGGAAGCTTTGACATTATGTCCAAAAAAAATAAAGCGGAAAATCAAGATGCTATGCACAACTAAGCATAGTGCCAAACAATCCTGTGAAGTTTCATTGACATCCCCCAAGCTGTTTTGTAGCATCAACAAGCTTATTTTACTCAAAAATAGACAATTAAGGTGCCATAACTGAGCTAAAAAAATCATGAAGAATACCAAGAGAGTATGCACACCTAGACATGATGAAAAACAATCCTGTGAAGTTTCACTGAAATCCACCCAGCGCTTTTGGAGATGTAGTGTTTACAAGCTTATTTTACTCAAAAATGGACCATTAAGGGGCCAGAACTGTGCCAAAAGAAATTCAAGCAGACATCAAGAGAGTACGCAAAACAAGGCTTGGTGACAAACAATCCTGTAAAATTTCACTGAAATTCACCCAGCGCTTTTGGAGATTTATCATTGACAAGCTTATTTTACTCAAAAATAGACCATGAAGGGGGCCATAACTAAACAAAAAAAATCATGCAGAATACCAAGAGAGTATGCACACCTAGACATGGTGAAAAACGATCCTGTGAAGTTTCTCTGAAATACCCCCAGCGGTTTTGGTGTTGTAGCGCGGACAAGCTTATTTTACTCGAATAGCCCGGACAAGCTTAATTTACTCGAAAATTGACAATTAAGGGGCCATAACTGTGTCAAGCATGAAATCAAAGAAGTATGCACAACTAGGTTTGGTGATATACAATCCTGTAAAGTTTCACTGAAATGCTCCCATCGGTTTTGGTGATAAAGACAGAGACCGAGGGACAGTGTAATTATAAAATTCCACCCTTCAGGGGCATAAAAAAAATGAAATAGTGTTGGTTGCTTGGTCTTATGAAAATTAATGTACCTCAAATAACCAATTTTAACAAGGATGTTAATTTGTTTCTCATGTAAGTAATAACACACCTACCCTCATTGAACACATATTTTCTCGTTTTGATATTGCCACGGAATTGATGAGCACTTTAGAAGCAAGAACATCAGCAAACTCCTCTAAACGTTGATATGGAATGTCTAACGCATCTTCATAATCACCCGAACTTCTAGCAGACTCTGTACAACTTCCAACTCTAAAATGAGAAAAACAAAAGCTGTCAGTAGGACAGCATCCTTCACTATTCTCAGTAAATTGCTAGTAAAACAAGTTCAAAACGGGCCTTAATTCTGTCAACATCTATGTCAGAGTTATGGGCCAAGGAAAGTGACCTCAATTATGTACTCAAAAAGTGTAACATCCTTTCAGTAGTTCTTGAGGTACCAACTTGTAACCAAAGTTAACCAAAACTCTGACGGCTATGCCGGTGCTGATGCCTACATTTGGGCAAGTACAACAAGATACAATCACTAAACATTAACTTAATTATATACAAAGCATAGTAAGTATGTTTAGGTATAATCAATTTATCACATGCAGCATTTATATAATATATATTACCCTTCTTTAAAATCATAATGTACATCATTTAATACACACATAAAAAAATGGTCCTAATCTGCCTGCATTCTGCCTATGTTTTTCCTGATCAAATAACCAGGTTTTTTTACCACTGCAAAATGTGACTACAAAGTGCGATAAACAAAAAACAATTTTTCTTCCAAGCAGTAAAACACTTTACCTTTCTGGACTGCTACTTTGGTCAGAGCTATCCAAATTGTCATCTTCACTATAATGAACACAATTAGTTTCCTCTGACCATGTGACCACTCTATTTTGGTCCAACCAATCAGGGCCAAGCATATCTGCCGTCTGCAGAGCCGACTTTAAAATACTAACAGCCAGCATACTGCTGTACAAATCAACAAATAATGGAACATCCTCCAGATCAAAGTCACCGGAACTTGATGAGGCCCTGTAAACAACTGTCAAAGCTTCGCACACAATTCTCCGTGACAGCGTATCAGCAAAGTCAGATACAGATCGTGATTGCACTGCGTTGTTTGATCTATTTGACATCCAACTTGTTTCACTATCCATAGAAATGCTAATACCAAGCTGTTTCTTACTCTCTCTGCTACTTGAACTGTTACTATTTCCACCAAGACGCGGCGAACACATAGAGCCCCGGGTCCTTGACCACGACGTCTGCGTTTTGGCAGATTTCTTATCGGCAGAATTTAAAAGTTCTTCTTCAAATGAAGCAAGTAAAGGGTCTCTAAATGAGCTGATAGTGCTGCACACAGAGTGACTTGAACCACTGATACTGACGTTGTCCCCGGCAACTGTGAGTTGAAGTGCCGGAACAGATACATTTGCTTTCATAAGTTCTTCTGCAAACCTGAAATAAATAATAAAATGTCAATACACACCATTCATATTTAGACCAAATTAAGAACTTTGGTGGTATTTATTTTTAGAAATTTAACATTTTAAAAACAAACAAATTTTTGTTTTGAAAAAGAGCTTTACAAAAGTTTTCCAAATTTAGAATTTTTATCCACCAGTTACACAAGTCTTTTTAACATTTAAAAATCCATATTGTTACCTTAGTGCAGTAACGGGATAACTCATTATATAATTTAATAGGAGTTAACCTGTTACTGCACTAAGATGATTGACAATATGTAAACTATTTTCTCAATTTATAATAACCAGTATTATCACTAAGAAATGCATTTTTTAGATTTTAACAATAAAAGAGAAAAATTGTTTTCTATAATATGCACAGTTTCAGATGTTGATAATATTTGCTAAACATCATTACCTTACAATTATACATATTCTGTTGAGCTTCATTACAATGTAACTACTAACTACTTGTAAAATATGAGTCAATAGGGTACTAGTATATTCCCTAAAAAATGCCCTTTTAATGTAACAAAGGGCTATAACTCAGAAACCTCTGGATGGATTTTGATAAATCTTGGTAATCATCTGCCAAAATTCAAGAACATTTGACAAAATTTTCTTAAAAAATAGCTCCCAAAAGACATTCTGAAGGTATTTTACTTCTGTGTTATTCCTTATTCACTTAGCCACAAAAACATTTTAGCCACAGAATCCCTTTACTTAATGTTTATTATGAAATGATGTTATTTATAATTCAGTAACTTTTTTCAGAACAAACTAATGAATAAATAACATATATGAAAACATGTAGACGAGGGCAACAGACTATAGATGCCACTTTCGGTTCAGAAGATTTACAAAATAATAAAAAAATACACAATCATAAAAATCAGAATATTTGCAAAATTTTGTTGTCATGAAATAAGGTGTTTTTACATTATTTGAAACATAATATAAAACAATTAGACTGATACCTTTGACTAAATCATAAATAATACAAGGACAACTAAAGCCCTAATTGAAGTGTAACCCAATTGAAGTGTAACTAAAACAAGGACAACTAAAGCCCTAATTGAAGTGTTACTAAAACAAGGACAACTTAAGCCCTAATTGAAGTGTAGCTAAAACATGAAAACTGGATACCTAAGTGAAGCATAGCTAAAACACTGACAACTTGGCCCTATGTAAAGGCTTAAGCACAAATAAAACACTTACAAATAAAGTCCTGACTGAACATGACCTAAAATATTCCAAACTAAGGCATAATTAAAACACTGACAACGAAAGCCCTAAATGAAGCATAAATAAAACACTGACCTAGATAAAACTGGATCTCTGAAGCCACTAGAAGAAGTTGAAGGATACTGCTGCATCCAGTCAGCTTCAAACTGTGAGATATCTTCATCAGTCTTGCTTTTCTTGCTTCGTTTTCCATTTATCGTGTGGAAAGAATGCTCATATCTCTGAAGCGCTGCACCATTGGATATCTGCATTGGCTCGCTACTTCGACGTGGATATGCTACTGGTTCATTGTGCTCTTGTACTTGAAGGAAAGCATTTGTCAACAGATCACGTGAAAGACTGTTTGCAAACTGATCGTAATTCTTTTTATTGCCGGTAGAAAAGTATTGACCAGGTTTCATCACAAGTCGAGCATGCTGTGGCGTTAAGTGATGTAATTTATTTGTTTTTGTGCCCGTCTGACTCTTTAACCCACTTCTCGATAGACCAGGGCCTGAATCTTGACCGAGTACCTCAGAATTATGTAAATCCTTGCGAGTAGAGGATTTCAAATCATTTATTTTACCTCTATCACTGCTATCCAATGATTTCTGGGGAAACAGAGTTGGTACTGAACGTCTCTCTGATATATTGTGTGAAATGGGATATTTTTTAGGAGAAAGTGATTTTGACACTTTTAGATCAGTTTTAGAAGAGTTCTTAATTGCAATACTGTCGGACGATTTGGAATCTGATGACTTTGACTCACTGCTACTTGATTTCTTTCTGAACTCAGCCCAATTAGTGGGGCTCTTTGACTTAGACTGACTAGAACTTTCTTTATAATCACAGTGTGCTGGTGAGGATGACAAGAGTTGTCTACCTAAGCTTGAATCACTTTGTGAGGAATCTGATGACAGGTTTAAAGAACAGGTTAAATTATCATTGCACGAATGTTCATCACTTTCTAGTTGTGTGGTTAGACCACTGGATAATTCTTTATCAGCTATCCTACTGAACATTTCCCGCCTTTTCGCCGCGGAGAGTTCACTATCGTCTGAATTTGTGGAATGTGACTTTGGAGAAATACTCTCTACAACCAATAATTTAGTATCACAGATTTCTTGTTTAGGAATATTGCTTTGGGGCTCAGCTAATGAAGGGTTAATGTTTGAAGGTAATTCTGTTTCTTTCTTACTAAAAAGTCCTGATAGCACTTTTTCTGCTACTCTATATGCTGGATCTAAATTTGAATTTGAATTCAAATTTTTCTTACTCCTCGATTGGTTACTTTCTGATGAGCTTAATTCTGATTGGTCCTTAGCATCAATGGAATGATCTGATTGGCTACTCTCAGAAATCTGAAGCATGTTCTTATCAAAAGTACTCATTAAATAGCGATATTCAAATAAAGCTTCTTGAAAAGCTATAGTAACCATTCGGTCTGCAACAGCTACTAGCAGACGCTCGTCAATTTCATTTTGCTCATCTTCAACTTTATCATTTTCACCTTCGCCATCATTTATTCTATCCCTTAGCACATTGATTTTAATGTTGTTAAAATAGTCACTTTTGTATTCTAATATCCTCTGTTTTATTTCGGCACCAGGTGTGGTACCATCATCTACCTCTATATCATTGTCAGAAAATGGCCAAATTATTTCAAACATTTCATCTACATATTGTCTTATACAGTCTTCCCTTACAATGGCTTCTTCATTTTCAATTGAGTCCAAAGTGGATAAACTTGCTGTTGAAACTCTAACTGGTAATGGTCGCTGAATGTCATAACTTGGTTGACTTCCATGAAAATTATGTGGTATGAAACCAGAAGCCTCCTCCGCACCCTGCCTTAGTAAACTGGCAGCCAAAGTTGAAGCGAATTCACTGACAGTCGTAGAGCCCACTTCTTCTTTAATGGTATGATATTTGTACTTTTGTTCCTGTTGTTGAAAATTATCGTAATATTCCTCAAACTCGGAGCTGTACTCGGAACTATATCCCCTTGCACTACAAGCACTGCTTCTGCGTGAAGCTAGATCATAACTACTACGCCGCGAACTTAAGTCACTCAAATTGGAGCTTCTACGTCGGTAGTTGGCATACCAGTCTCTAAAATTAACCTCTAAATGATCCATACTAGATTGTCTGTGTAAATAATGTTCTCCGCCACTAGTTGGCAGTTCATGTTCATGGCGCTCTTCTCTGCTGGAGATAACTTTGGAAGCATCTAACAGAGCATGAGTCATTGCCCCTTGAAGAAGCTCTTCAACAAAAACATCAATCTGTCGATTGCCCATCAAATCTGAAATTCAACAACAATAAACAATGTCTGTCTTCCTTTTCTATGACAACCATCTCTAAAAAAGACCACATTAAAACAGTTCTAAATAGTTAATACTAACTACCTTGAAGGTTCAATATAACAGATAAATATAATAAACTTGGCCTGCTTTAAATTTGGAAAATTCCATTGTAAGTTTAGGGGATTTCAATACCAAAATTCAACAAGAGTTGTCGGCAGGACAGCGTGCTTGACTACACTCAGTACTTGATAATAAAACAAGAGCCTGAATAATGTAAAATTTTCCAAGTTCAAACAAGAGCTGTCAGTAGGACAGCAACGCTCGACTATTCTTAGTGCTTGATAGTAAAAAAAATGCTTGATACAGTTACCTCCTCCTGTTTACAGGTTGGGGTCATGATGGTGAACAAGTGTGCAAAGTTTCAAAGCCATATGTCAATGGACTCTGAAAATATTTGAACTATTACAAAAACTTTAACATAAATTCTAAGTCGAAAAAGGGGCATAATTCTGTCAAAATGCTTGATAGAGTTACCTCCTCCTGTTTACAGGTTGGGGTCATGATGTTGAACAAGTGTGCAAAGTTTAAAAGCCATATATCAATGGACTTTGAAAATATTTGAACAATTACAAAAACTTTAACGTAAATTCTAAGTCGAAAAAGGGGCATAATTCTGTCAAAATGCTTGATAGAGTTACCTCCTCCTGTTTACAGGTTGGGGTCATGATGTTGAACAAGTGTGCAAAGTTTCAAAGCCATATGTCAATGGACTTTGAAAATATTTGAACTATTACAAAAACTTTAACATAAATTCTAAGTCGAAAAAGGGGCATAATTCTGTCAAAATGCTTGATAGAGTTACCTCCTCCTGTTTACAGGTTGGGGTCATGATGTTGAACAAGTGTGCAAAGTTTCAAAGCCATATGTCAATGGACTTTGAAAATATTTGAACTATTACAAAAACTTTAACAGTAAATTCTAAGTTGAAAAAGGGGCATAATTCTGTCAAAATGCTTGATAGAGTTACCTCCTCCTGTTTACAGGTTGGGGTCATGATGTTGAACAAGTGTGCAAAGTTTCAAAGCCATATGTCAATGGACTTTGAAAATATTTGAACTATTACAAAAACTTTAACATAAATTCTAAGTCGAAAAAGGGGCATAATTCTGTCAAAATGCTTGATAGAGTTACCTCCTCCTGTTTACAGGTTGGGGTCATGATGTTGAACAAGTGTGCAAAGTTTCAAAGCCATATGTCAATGGACTTTGAAAATATTTGAACTATTACAAAAACTTTAACATAAATTCCAAGTCGAAAAAGGGGCATAATTCTGTCAAAATGCTTGATAGAGTTACCTCCTCCTGTTTACAGGTTGGGGTCATGATGTTGAACAAGTGTGCAAAGTTTCAAAGCCATATGTCAATGGACTTTGAAAATATTTGAACTATTACAAAAACTTTAACATAAATTCTAAGTCGAAAAAGGGGCATAATTCTGTCAAAATGCTTGATAGAGTTACCTCCTCCTGTCTACAGGTTGGGGTCATGATGGTGAACAAGTGTGCAAAGTTTCAAAGCCATATGTCAATGGACTTTGAAAATATTTGAACTATTACAAAAACTTTAACATAAGTGGTTACGCCGACGCCGACGCTCGGGTGACTGCAATAGCTCTACTTATTCTTATCGAATAGTCGAGCTAAAAAGGGTCATAATTCTGCAAAAACAGAGCCATCAACAGTATAGACCCAGGCCATATTTCACAGATGTGCCGGCTGGCTTGGCTCTAGACAAAGGCTAATCACTTCTAGTTCCAGCAGGTTAAAAGGTTAACAAACCTTGTTCTTGTACACTATCAGTTTCATCTACATCACTTTCTCTGGCAGTGAAGTAACTTTCTTCACTTAAACTTCTAGCACAAACACCAGGTGGCAGTGTAAATGGTGTGTTAAATCCTGAAAATATCGAGTATTTTTATAAAATGTAAAGTAGATATTGTCACTATAGTGCAGCAATGGACTAACTCCTGTTGAATTCAAAAGGAATTAACATGTTAATGCATTAAGGTAACAATATGGTTTAAATTTCTCTGATCTGTTTAAAGCAGCACGCCTCAAGATTCATGCTAATTTTCATGAAAATTTGAAAATGTATTTAACAATATAACATTGTAAAGTTACTAAAAGAATGCAATTTACACATTATCAATGGCACTTACAACCTATGTAAATTACTTTAAAGAGGTCAAAACTTGAAAAAAATTGCCCTAACTGTGTTACACCATGTTACGTAACGTCATTAATTGCACATAACTTGTAAATTTTTACAAGAATTTTGAATCTTTATACCTTTCCTAAAATCTTTGTACATTTTTCTCAGGAATGATATATTTTTGCTCATCTGGAGGCATGCAGCTTTAAAAATATAACTTTTAAATGCAACTTTTTGTAGAAAATTGCAGCAATATAAATTCATTTTCTGGAAATCTGCATAACTTTATAAGGGTGTGACATTTGATATTATGATTTGACATCAAATCAGTGTTATTCATCTACAAAGTTTGACAAAGTTTGTTCCATTGGGTTTTATGTTGCACAGACACAGTATAGGTCATTTGGCATTTTTTCAGCTTTAATGGTAGAGGAAGACCTCAGGTGCCCTTCTGTGCATGCCCCTGAGTAAACCACTGATGTTCAGTAAGCTAGCTGAATAGCTTCCTCACATGAAAGACTCCAAAGTACCTGTTTGATTAAGATTTGCGATGATTATTTGGAGGAACAAATTAATTTGGCACAATATTATGAGAATATCATATGATACCTGTAAAAGCCTTATTAAGATCTCTGAGGACATTATCATCTTGGTATTGATTTTTATTGCTATGTTTGTATGAGACCGCATCTATAGCTGTCAACATGTTCTTTAAATTACCCTTCTCATCAACCTGAAAACAACATACAGTATATAAACTAGATTGTTTATTTAGTTTGGTTTTGTTTGGTTTTACAGTGCTTCAATACAATTTATGGCACTGAAACAGAAAAGTTGATTTTGGCTTACCTTGGGTGTTACAAACTTAAAGGGCTGATACAGCAGTGACAAATACACCCACTATCTCTACCACACAATATTCTATTTAAGTTTCTATATCACTATATTTGAAGGTGAACATTGAAGCAAAGTTTAAAGAACGTCTTTCAAGAGGTATAGGGTTTATAAAACTGAAACTTAAAATTGTGTAACATTTGATTTCCAAGGATGATCTTGACCTTTAGTTGGCAGAACATCAGCATGGGTTCTGCACATCATCCTGTTAAAGTGGATACTGTAAAATCATTATTATTCGTGGGGCACGAATTTTCGTAGTTAGGTCAATCTACGAATTTAAGATCCGACGAACTTTTATCCTAACAAATACTTCTTACCCTGTCTCTGTTCTATATATTACAAACATGCGTCAGCTCTTTTCCGGCCTATATTTCGTGATGTGGATGTAAGTACAGACAGATAACCAGGTTAGTGACATATTAAATCCGTTTGCAATATTTAAGAAACTTGAAAGAAAACTCGATTATATGTCCTAAATTTACTGTCACAAATGTCGCATATACATACTCGATCGTTGTAGTCTACTAAGACTTGATTGTGTTAACAAGAACACTTGACATAATCGAGTAAATATGGGAACCCAGGCAGTGCAATAATTAGCGCTGATAAAAATTGTCAGTTTGCTCTTATTAATTTAAAAAAAAAAGACTTTGATATTAATGTCGTAAGTACACAAAACTATAAAAAAATACGATCGCTAAAACAGATTTATTGTACTTTCCTTTGTCGTTTTTAAATGATCCAGTTTATATGAATTTTAATCGGTATTTGTGCGAATGCTATTCTGTAAACATCAAAGACGCCACCAACTTTACATATACTTGTGTTATTTACCGAGAATAATTCATATGCATGTAAATTTACACAGTCGCTGTGACGTTGCGTGTAGTTACTGTCAAATATGTTAAGACCAATTCAGGGTGTAAACTTTAACACTCGCTGGTTCAAACGTGCCAGGTGTCGTATAAATTATATGATGTTTACATCGGCGAATTACAGGGACAGTGTGTCCAATGGAGGTGCATATCATGTCACATAAATGTGTTAATTGCAGTCAATTATCGGCAGTAACTGTGCTATATTAGAGTTATGCCCAGAGGCAAGGATTAAATTTATTGACAACCGCTGTGTGACAAGTAAAGATATGTACATGTTGTAAGTAAAAATGTTCAACAATTAAGTTTAAGATTACTTTGCATTAGGTTACTGAATTTTTTTTTTAAACAAGAAAACGAAAATCCACGAATTTAAGAACCCACGAACATGCCCGTTTTGATAAAAACACGAAATTCATGCCCACGAATATAAGTGAATTCACAGTATGAGAAAAAAACTTTTGGGGGGACTTAAAAGATGAAAAGATACACCTTCAAAGGGACATAAATTAGTAGACATATAGATTGACAGGACAAAGTGATTCAAGTATAGAACAACTTTAAACTTTCTATTATTGACCAATGTCTTGTAAATGTACAGATCTCAGTTTGATGTCATAAAAGAGTATCATAACTGTGTTTGATGATTTTAGACATAATCTCCTGTAGGACCACATATCTTCCGTATTCTCTGATACATCAACTAAGTTTTTTTCAACGAGAAACAGTAAGAATTTTCTATACACTCATGTGAGGCGGTCATTTGCCTGTACCACAAGTATTAACTTTATACTTGTCTACTTAATCTTATTAATGTCAAAACCCATTACATCAGACAGTTGCATGTCTACAACTGGACAAAGGTTAATATTTTGGACAGCAACTTTGTCAGCCAATAAACTAAAATTTTTATATCAATATTTAATGTAAAGTTTTAACCTCTGAAAGACATTATAAATTACCTCAGCCTTATCTTTATGGTCTCCGACATATTTCAGAGAGGCAGCATAACCTTCTACAGCTGAAAATTGCTCAAAACCTTGTATAATAATAGCCTCGTTCTCTTCCATTACTTCCATAAAAAGCATGGACACAATTAGCTCTGGACATACAGTGAACCGTATCTCTTCTTGCACACGCCCTCGACTCAAAGCTCCACCCCCAATATACCGATTTGCAAAGTCAACCTGAAACAAGCCAATAAATATTCATTACTTTCAATATTTCCCAAATATAACATGTAGCATAAAACATTATGTTTATATCATACAATGATTCAATGATTCCATAGCTAATAATATAATAATATTAATATATGAGCCAATATATTAAATTCAATAACTTTAATATTAATCAATAGAAATGATTACTTTAATATAAATCAATACAAATGATTTATTTAATATAAATCAATACAAATGATTATTTTAATATATATTAATACAAATGATTTACCAAACAAATGATTTCTAAAATACTTTGATCTACAATACCATGACTATTTGATATTATAAAAGACACCAACACAAGTACAGGTCAACCAGGTCAACTTGGCACAACAAATATTCAAAGATCAAAAAGAAGATTCATGTGAAGCGCAGCCGCTCACTTGGTTAAATATCTAGGTTTGTACTCGTTTTTTAATCCAGGAAAACTTGTAAAGGGATAAAAGACTGTTACAAACACATATTAAACTTAATCAATTAAAGAAGATAGATTTCAACACATTTATGACTTATGAAATCTGGGGAAAATGCAATAAACTTTTATTTTATAACTGAAAAGAACGTACCTCTACTGTATTACAGCCAGCATCTTCAATGAGACCATGTTGTCGTACGTCCACATGACACAGATCTGATGTACAGTTCAACCATGTATCCAAGGTAGGTAACTCTTCCCTCTTGATCACCTGATATATTGATTAAACTATAATATTACAGATAATTGACCTTTATTGCTAACAAGTTATATCCTTAAGATTAAGTTTTTTAAGTTAGGTATCATATTGTTGTTCACATAATGTCTTTTTTTATGGTTGAGATTTAAGTTACACTTACACTGTTAAGATCATATGGTGACTTTTCAGCTTTAATGGTAAAAGAAAACGTTAAGGTGTCTCTTTGCATTATTTTAGGTAGAAGCCAGCATCTGGGTAGAAATACCAACCTTCTGTAAGCTTTTTTTTTAGTTTAACGTCACACCAACACAGTATAAATCATACAGCCAATTTCCAGCTTTACTGGAAGAGAAGACCTAAGATGCCAGTCTGTACATTATTTCTGGCACAAACAGGTACCTGAGTAGAACCACCGACATTCCGTATGCTAGCCAGATAGCTTCCCCAAAGCAGAGGAGTCACTGACCAAAACTACTTAACTATGTCAGCCCTGACAAAATGTCATTAGCTAAATAATATACTTGATACAAGAAATGATGCTATATACATCATGAAATATATTATAGATGATACAAAATTGTAACTTCTGAGAATTTTCTCTCAAAAACATTTGTTTGTATTTAATCATATCAGAAATGGACAATTTCCTTCAAAATAAAAATTAAATTGTGCTATAAAATGTGTTATATTTAATGTGATCAGGTTTTTTTTCTAACATTTCTCATCAATTGTGCAGATCATCATTCCTACATGACATTTGTTCCCTATTTAGTAAAAGAAACACTAAAAGTAAAAGTGTGTTTTTTCCATCCAATTATAAAACAAACTTCACAACTAGTACCCATAGTTTATTAATTAAGAAACATGTATACCTAGTATTGTATTAACTTTTCAGAAATACAAGTGACTTGTACATTTGAAAACACTCTGCCTTTCCCTTAGAAGAAATGCATAGTATTTTATCTTTTTTTTTTTCAAAGGGAGTTCTTCATAAAATGATGAAATCAGACTCCCTACCTGTCTGGTAAACAGCAGTGCCCCATTCAGCGTGTTTCTCTCTGCCGTCACTCTCTCAAAGAAATGAAGAATACATCGCAACTTGGCATTCTGGGATGGTCTGAAATTTATGTAATAACAAAAGTGAGCAGAAGAATCCCAAATGTAGAAACTTATTTTTCTTTAAATTTCTACAAACTAGGAAAGTTATAGCTATAAGTCTATCAAATTTAATATAAAAAAACTTTCATCAGCCTCGAAACATGATAACATGATTTATAACAAGGATAAAATCATGATTCATAATTTAAGACATGAGACACCAATTTTATTCCCTTGTCTATCTTCAAACAAACTAAAAAAAACCTACAACAACATTTCACTTACACACTGTACAATTAATGTGACTTATACTCAATTAACTCTGTTCTTGCAAAAAGATAAAAGTTTCTTTTCTTTTTTTATTATTTCATATTAACTCCTCTTACAAAATTTAACTAAGACAGTTGGTTAACTACTTCTATCATCTCTGAATACCCACTTGTCCCTCACCACGGTGGGTTCGAATCCCCACAGGGACTTTGGATTCTTACATGTGAGGAAGCTATCTAGCTAGCTTACGGAACATTGGTGGTTCTACTCAGGTGCCGTCCATGCCTGAAATAATGCACGGAAGGGCACCTGAGGTCTTCCTCTACCAGTAAAGCTGCAGCGTCACCATATGACCTATACATGTCCGTGTGACATAAATCCCAAATCAAACAATAAAATACATCAAATACTCCCTTATTAAAAAGGGTTTCCCAATTTCATTTTTTCCCTTATTGGGGCCATTTTCACACTTCAATTACTCCCTTAAGTTATTAGCAGGTTTCACCACTTCAAATACTCACATTTTAGACATGTTTTACCCACTTCAATTACCCCTTATTAAAACTGATATCCCCACTGACTTCAATAACTCTTCTATAAGAAAGGGCTTAACCATTTCAATAACTCCTCTGTTAAAAATGGTTTCCCCCATTTCAATTACTCCCCTATTACAAGGGGTATACCACACTTTAATTACTCCCTTATTACAAGAGGTATCCCCCAATTCAATAACACCCTTAACTTCCTTATTACAAGCCTGGGTATTCCAACTTCAATTATTCCCTTATTACAAGGGGTATCCCCCACTTCAGTACAAGGGGAATCCCCCACTTCAATAACTTCCTTATTACAAGCCTGGGTATCCCCACTTCAATCACTCCCTTATTACAAGGGGTATCCCCACTTCAATAACTCCCTTTCTACAAGGGGTATCCCCCACTTCAATAACTCCCTTATTACAAGGGGTATTCCCCACTTCAATAACTCCCTTATTTACAAGAGGTATCCCCCACTTCAATAACTCCCTTATTACAAGAGGGCCATGATGGCCCTGAGGTTGCTCACCTGTATATAGGCCCCCCACCCCCGGGCCAATTTTTACCCAAGGGCTTTTATTTGTTTATTTGAACAGACTTGGTAGACACCCATAAGAAGATGTTTCATGCTAAACATCTAAGTTCTAGCTCATTGGCTTTTTTAAAAGAAGATTTTTAAAGTTTTTACTATACACATATAGTTAAAAACAATGTCACCCCTGGGGCAGGGCCAGTTTTGACCCCCGGGTGTTTATTTGAAACAAACTTTGTAGATATTTACTAAAAGATGTTTTCATGCTTAATATCTAAAACTCTAGCTATTTGGGTTTTTTCAAAGAAGATTTTTAAGTTTTTTGCTATACACATATGAGGAAAATCAATGACCCCCCCCCAGGCGGGGCCAGTTTTGACCCCAGGGCTTTTATTTGAACATACTTGGTAGACACCCATTAGAACATGTTTCATGCTAAATATCTAAGCTCTAGCTCTTTGAGTTCTTTAAAAGAAGATTTTTTAAGTTTTTACTATATGCATATAGGGAAAATCAATTCCCCCCCTGGGGCGGGGCCAATTTTGACCCCAGAGCTTTTATTTGAACAAACTTGGTAAACACTCATTAGAAGATGTTTCATGCTAAATATCTTAGCTCTAGCTCTTTGGGTTCTTTAAAAGAAGATTTTTTAAGTTTTTACTATATGCATATGGGGAAAATCTATGACCCCCTGGGGCAGGGTCAATTTTGACCCCAGGGCTTTTATTTGAACAAACTTGGTAGACATTCACTAGAAGATGTTTCATGCCAAATATCTAAAGCTCTAGCTCTTATGGTTCTTTAAAAGAAGATTTTTTTAAGTTTTTACCATATGCATATAGGGAAAATCAATGACCCTCGGGGCGGGCCAATTTTGACCCCAGGGCTTTAATTTGAACAAACTTGGTAGACACTCACTAGAAGATGTTTCATGCTTAATATCTTAGCTCTAGCTCTTTGGGTTCTTTAAAAAGAAGATTTTTTTTAAGTTTTTACTATATGCATATTGGGAAAAATCAATGACCCCCCCCCCCCCCCGGGCCAATTTTGACCCAGGGCTTTTATTTGAACAAACTTGGTAGACATTCACTAGAAGATGTTTCATGCCAAATATCTAAGCTCTAGCTCTTACGGTTCTTTAAAAGAAGATATTTAAAGTTTTTTCTTTTGGTTGCCATGGCAACCAGAGTTCTGCATGGAATTAAATTCTTTGAACAATTTTTAAAGGTGACCACCAAAGGAACATTCCTGTGAAGTTTGGATGAAATTGGCTCAGTGGTTTATGAGGAGATGTCATTTAAAGCAAAAGTTTACGGACGGACGGACGGACGCCGGACGAAAAGCGATCACAAAAGCTCACCCTGTCACTTTGTGACAGGTGAGCTAACAAGGGGTATCCCCACTTCAATAACTCAATTATTACAAGGTGTATCCCCCACTTCAATAACTCCCTTATTACAAGGGGTATCCCTCTATTCAATTACTCCCTTATTAGAAAGGGTTTCTCCACTTCAATAAATTACATATAAGAAAGATTTTCCCTACTTCAATTACAACAAGAAACATGGCAATGCCATGAAACCAGGTTTTCAATTATCACCATTGTAGATAAATATGTTGTATTTGAAATACAAATACAAGCAACAAACAATGTAACTATGTGCAATGTAAAACATGAATAATGTAGGAGGAATTGCCACTGAAGAAGTGTTCACTATAATATTATGTATAAGGAAAAAAACAAAGGGCCATAATTAGGTCAAAAAACTATCCAATCACAAAAACCCCGACAATATGTGCCAGGGTGCTTGATGACAAAGCTTCTGTGAAAGTTTTGAACAAAATCCGTTGAGAAATGTAGGACGAGTTCAGCACAGAAGAATTTGTTCACTATAATTATATTGATAATTCTGTATAATAAAAAACAAGTTTACAAAGTAGACATGAAATAATATATAATATCTTTTTTAAATTACCTCCAAAGATGATATGACCTTTGACTGCCAAATCAAGTTAAAATCATGTAAACAGGATTTTCAATGTTAATGTCACTGTGACCTTGACCTTGGAGCCAGCCATGCGGAACATGCGTTCTGCACGTCATCTTGATGTGGTAAACATTTGTCTGAAGTTTCATCAAAATTCTTCAAAAGGGTTGAAGAGTTACAGAGCGGACAGGATTTTCAATGTTAATGTCACTGTGACCTTGACCTTGGAAGCCAGCCATGCGGAACATGCGTTCTGCACGTCATCTTGATGTGGTAAACCATTTGTCTGAAGTTTCATCAAAATTCTTCAAAGGGTTGAAGAGTTACAGAGCGGACAGGATTTTCAATGTTAATGTCACTGTGACCTTGACCTTGGAGCCAGCCATGCGGAACATGCGTTCTGCACGTCATCTTGATGTGGTAAACATTTGTCTGAAGTTTCATCAAAATTCTTCAAAGGGTTGAAGAGTTACAGAGCGGACACAATTTCGTTTGACAGTTAAAATCATGTAAACAGGATTTTCAATGTTAATGTCACTGTGACCTTGACCTTGGAGCCAGCCATGCGGAACATGCGTTCTGCACGTCATCTTGATGTGGTAAACATTTGTCTGAAGTTTCATCAAAATTCTTCAAAGGGTTGAAGAGTTACAGAGCGGACAGGATTTTCAATGTTAATGTCACTGTGACCTTGACCTTGGAGCCAGCCATGCAGAACATGCGTTCTGCACGTCATCTTGATGTGGTAAACATTTGTCTGAAGTTTCATCAAAATTCTTCAAAGGGTTGAAGAGTTACAGAGCGGACAGGATTTTCAATGTTAATGTCACTGTGACCTTGACCTTGGAGCCAGCCATGCGGAACATGCGTTCTGCACGTCATCTTGATGTGGTAAACATTTGTCTGAAGTTTCATCAAAATTCTTCAAAGGGTTGAAGAGTTACAGAGCGGACACAATTTCGTTTGACAGTTAAAATCATGTAAACAGGATTTTCAATGTTAATGTCACTGTGACCTTGACCTTGGAGCCAGCCATGCGGAACAATGCGTTCTGCACGTCATCTTGATGTGGTAAACATTTGTCTGAAGTTTCATCAAAATTCTTCAAAGGGTTGAAGAGTTACAGAGCGGACAGGATTTTCAATGTTAATGTCACTGTGACCTTGACCTTGGAGCCAGCCATGCGGAACATGCGTTCTGCACGTCATCTTGATGTGGTAAACATTTGTCTGAAGTTTCATCAAAATTCTTCAAAGGGTTGAAGAGTTACAGAGCGGACACAATTTCGTTTGACGCCCGCCCATCCGCCCAGCCGCCCATCCGCCCGCCATACCCCAATCTAATAACCAGGATTTTCAAAATTGAAAACCTGGTTAATAAACTTGGTCTAATAAATGATCATTTTATATCTTCAGAACAAAAAATATGACGGTCAATCTTAAACACAACTGACAATGAAAACAATAAAACCTGTCTAATAATCCATCTTACAGGAAGATAGACAACACAGTATCAGTCGCGGATTGACAAAACTGCAGTAACATATATGAAATAAAGAAGGACTTAAATAAGTTTTGCGGTCAATCCGCAATCTCTTACAATCATTTCAAACACCATTTAATATGTTTAAGAAGCTGTCACTGATAGCTGATATATAATTTACTAAACATGGTAAAACTTAATCTACACTGCATAATACTTACATAGGTAAGTTTGAAAAGAATTTGTTAAAGTTAATCTTGTTCAGTTTGGTTCCCCAGCCAACTGGGAACAAGCAGAGAAACCCACATGCCACAATAGAACAACATAATTTTCTACTGATTTCACATGTTCCACCTGCAAACAAAAAACAACAACAAAAAACCATGAAATAAGCAAGCCAGGACAGAGACACTATATATCAAACATTTATACCTTTAAAGCAATTATCATAGAAAATTCATTTTAGAATGTGCATGGTAAAAAAAGTTTCAATGAGAATTCTGAAAAAAAAGTTAGAATTCACATTCATCTTAACTTTGAACACATGTACATTTTGTATGATATATCATATGTTTTTATAGTGAATAAATCATGTTTGATACAAATGATTTTAGTACCACATTTTATGACATGTAGCTAATCAATAAGATCCTATATATATATGAGCCGCGTCACAACAAAACCAACATAGTGCGCAGCTGAATGACGCGGCTCATATGCAGTTTTATTCCTCCTATAGCATGGATGCATAAAAGGTATCTTCTGCTCAAGAAAATTCTTTAAAACAGTTTTCCCCTAAACTTCAATTTATATATCACATTTTTTTCTTCCCCTTTAGCAAACATGCAGTTTAATTCCCCCATGCACCTTTTCCTGCTAAATACTCGCCTTTTTGCTGTTCACTTATGTCAATTCCATCTGTAGGAAGAAGGGCCTCAATATCAAGTGCAAGGTCAATAATGGATGGAAACGTTATTTTTACAAATTGATTCTGTTCTTCAGCAGTTGCATGTTTTCTGAAGTATTTTACAAGCCCATAGTACACAGTTTCTCCCCAGTTTACATGCTCTGTTACAAAAATACCCTGATTTACATCCACCACTATCTGATGATCCTGAGCAATTGTTTTAACATCAAAGTCTTCCTGAAAATGGAATAAAACCCAAATTTTTGGTAACAATATATCTGAATTAGTCATTAATTATATTTAAAGTTGATTAAAGTGACATTTTCTGATTTTTTTACCTTATCAATGTGAACAAAATTGACTACATATTTTTTCAAAAGATTGACTGTCATAATGGTGATTGACTAACAGTAGATATTTGAAAAATTTTAGGATAAAATATAAATTTGTCTTAAATATAAAAAACTTACTCTTTTTATAAATTGAACATTACAGGTAATTTCCAATGGATGCTTACAGATATTTCCATGGGCCATATCAGTTATATATTGTTCATGTGAAGTAAAACCTAAGATTTAAAAGAATTATGGCAAAAAAGAAACTTATTTTGACAAAATAGAAACTTATTTTGACTTTCATCTATTAACTCACTAATGTCACTTTTGTATTTTTAATACTATTTGAAATCACTGTAATGTGTTTTGTGATTTTATAATAACTTTTATGTAAAATTTCGGACAGCAGCTGTAGCCCCCATTTCAAATAAGACTGACAGGCTTTACCATTCTCTAATGAAGAACAGCAGTGTGGGACAAGAAGTTTAAAATACAGTGTAACTTCTGATACCGAACACCTGTGGGACTAGCCAAATTGTTCGGTATTTGGAAGTTTCCGGAATTCAGAAGTTCGGAATTATCTGAACAACTAGAAACATTACACATCAATTGTTTTAGTAAGACATGTTGAAAAAAATATGAGGATGATTAAAATCATAAAATGGCAAAATATTAGGAATGTAAAAGTGTCTAACTAATTTAAATTTCATTGTCACCTATCACAAAATTGGCTGATACAATAGCATAATGATCATTTTTATCACAATTTATCCTTTAGTACATTTCATGTAGTACCTGCCTGCTATAACCTGTAATATTTTTTTAATATCCATTACATTATACCACTTTCACTAACTCCACTTTCACACTTTAATTAAGCATTTGACATGCTTGACAGGTTGTGATTCCAAAAGGTGTCAAGATGACATTGTTAAAGTTTTACAAGTATAATATTCTTTCACCCCGTTTTCAATTTCCGGATTTTGGAAGTAAATTTGAATTGATAAAACCTAAATTTTACCAGAAAATCGTTCAGAAGTTCCGTAATTCAGAAGTTTTCATTACATGGAAAACAGAAGGAGAAATTTCGGGACTCTGAAAAATGTTCGGATTTCAGAAGTTTCCGGATTTTAGAAGTTCCGGAATTCGGAAGTTACACTGTACTGCACTTTTAATTCTTGTTTTGGTAATTGACAACAATTAACAACAAAAATAATGTGTTTATTTACTGAACATCTATAGAACAAACCCTTAGTTGGCAGTCTTTCTTTAGTTGATGTAGCTTGTCTTTTACACGCCACCAGTGATCCAAGTCACATGGAAACAAAACTTTTGGCATCCTGCCAGGTTTTTACTTCACCCAGGTATTTCAGGCATTTTCTGTACCTAGAAAAGACAAATATAAAGATATAATAGATATTTTTGAAAATCTTATCATAATTTTCTCTAAAATTTAGATATAAAAGAGATATTATTTCAAGGCACTTGATAACCTTCCCTTGCATATATCATATAGGACTTTCAAGTGCTTGGCACTGCCATCTTTCATTTGAAGACTTGCTAGTAAGTTAAATAATTTGCAGAATTTGAAAAATGCCATCCCACCTCCATTTTAGATGAAAAAGTTTTAAATCATAAGCTTCCATTTGGCAAATTATGCTCAATTCAAGAGCTATTCTATTACTTTGTATAATATGCCAAAAAAAACAGAAAAAGAAACAAAACAAAAAATCTAACAGTGGTCTAATATATAGAAATGAATTAGGCTTAGTTCATATAACAGTTTATCACACACCTGTGCTTATTTTGCAACTCCGTAACATTGGTATTGCACCGCCATGCATATGTTTTGACGTGACATCATTAGCGTTATACAAACATAGTGTAAAGACGCGCTAAATGTTAGCTTTATACTATAGGTGCGTCAATGAAAAATGACTCTTATTTCACTTTAAACGGTCTTTATTTTGGGTATGTGATAAATAGAATATTAAATTCATTTAAGATCATTACTGAATTTATTGCACTCGTTGAATAAAATAATTATATGCTCGCCAGAGGCTCGCATAATATAATTTTATTTAACTCCTGCAATAAATTCAGTATTGAACTTACATTCATTCAATATCCTCTATTAAATGCTACAGAATGTTGTTAGTGCCTTAAACAGTTACATGCATCTATACCACAATGGTTGTCAACGAGTTGATATACCCATCTGTATCAGCAGCCAACTGGTGTAAGATTCTTATACATTTTATAATACTTTTGATTCCAATAGCATTACATATTGATATACATAAGGATTTTGTGACCTTTCAAAACAACACAACAGATACCAAACTAGTCTTTTCTTTTCAGGGATTTGTAATATCACTTATCTTGCATAACAATTGGCAGAATCACTATCATTAAATAACTATGTACCTACATACCCATTTCCATCAAATAGCATTGGACCAAACATACTTGATCTATCTTTATAATACTCTATCTTTATGACTTTAAGAGTTTATGGGAAATTTTGGACTGGATAAAATAGAGGAGTGGGGAATCCCAAGTTTGATTAGTGTTGAAGCAGTTTTTATAGTATTATAGCAATTTGAACTTGTAACGGGAGACTTTTCAATGAAAACAGCCATTTTTCACAAAATGCTCATGAAGTAATGGGTTAATTAAGTTTAATTTTCGACAACTTTTAAATGAAAAATTATTGTTGTTGGGCTCTGATAATAATATTGCGTCAATTACCGACGGTATAGAAGTTTGTCCATCATTAAGGAAAGGTTGCATGTTCCGTGAAATGCATTTTAAAATCGTATTGTCAGTCCCTGGTTAGGCTTTAATTAAGGCTTATTAATTGATAGTGCTTTTATGTTCGATATTTATCTACTGTATTTGAAAATGATACAATTATTTTTGCTTTTCACCATTGTTTTTTGTTTATTTTTTTTTGTTTTTTCAATGTTCTTTTTATTTATTCCACTTGGATCATTATTTATTCGATCCAAGTGCTTAATTAACAAAAATTCACCTTTCATACAAATAAAACAACATATCATAATCATGAGGCACAAAATAACATATATATGCATGTTCGAATCCGGGTCAGCCCGGCCCTAAAACATACTCGGCCCCCGAGTCAGCTCGGCCCTATTCCAACTCGGCACGGGTCAACTCGGCCCACTTTTAAAAATGGGTAAAGGACATCAAAGGACTCCTATTGTCACGGGCTATCATTATCAATCAATGTGTATGTTAAATATATATACCGATTAATTATTATTAATGATAATTATGATTGACTTATTCATTCAAATTTGATTAGTGACCACCTGCAATTAATTAGAAGCTTATGCTATTAAGTAAACACGTTTTTGTTTCATATTTTTGCAAGACAAATAAATAATTTTTTTTTTCTAAATATACTTTATTTCAGCAGAGGTACAATGTATAATTATATAATAATAATAAGATATTTCTTATCATTCATTTACCTTAACAACATGCAAAGCAAAGTAAATACGTTATAGGCCTATATATTTTTGTAAAGTGGGCCGAGTTGACCCGTGCTGAGTTGACCCGTGCCGAGTTGGTATAGGGCCGAGTTGACTCTTTTCCTGCATGTTCGACTTCCATATAATTTTAAAAAGTGCCGTACGACTAGACAATACAGTGAGTCCTGGCTACTCGTACATGACTCACGTACAGCTAGAACTTTTGGCTAGCCGTACGGCTAACCACTTCCTTTTTTTTTTACTTTTTTTTTAACAAAATTAAAATCTAATTAATAAAAATTACACCTAAATAGTTCACAAAAAGTAACGAAATTTTTCTCAATAATTCTATTTAAAAAATTATTTTGTACATACTGTATGATACAAAATAATAATGACTGTAAAAAAAATAGACTAAACGAGTTTATCCGGAAATATTGTTATATCCGATTTTACTGACGGTTTGTCAGTGATCTGGCTGTCAAATGATGGTTTATTGTGTGTACCTTGAAACAATTCGGATATAGGACATATCAAAGATATCAGTTAACAAACTCATTTATGCAATAAAATACTTTAACCCACTGAAATGAAAAATAAGTATAACCTTTCACATCTGTTTCCACGCTGCGTGCGCAGCAGCTGTCAAAACTATTAAGCCAAACAAGTTTAAATACCAAAAAGAAGTTGAATAGCGGCACGAATTTCACTATCTCTTTTATCACATTTTGGCACGGAGTTGAATAGTATGCATATCTGTGATTTTGGTAACAGTAAAAAATATATAAAAAAAATAGCATAACGGTAGACGTACGTTTATTAAACCGTATAATTATACGTATCCTAATGCATTGAAATTTGAAGATCTTATGAATAGTAAAAATCACATTAGAAAAACTTGCTTTGTTTTGTAAAGAAATAATTACAACATGCAAATAAAAGTATTATGTGGTATCATTAGTCTCATAGAAATTTTGTTAATGGGGCATAAATTTCGATTAGATTTAAGAATCTAGTCATAACTTTATTTCATTTTCATAGAAAAAATATAATTGTCACTCATTCTCCTTTTTATGTATATTTTTCTGTGTCCCGCATGTTACATGTTCACAATTTGTATTTTGTCACATGTTCTAATGAACCATGGCAGTAATTGAATAAATAAAGGAAAATAAAGTTTGTAGACATAATATTTTTGTAAGTATAAATTATTTTATATATATTTCATATTTCATTGACATTGTCAAAACCGATTTTCGCTTGGACTACTAATTTTCCATAGATTTTTTTGAGGTTGTTCAGCCGAATTTCTGGGGCTCTATATTCAAATCGTAACTTTCATACTATTCTAGAAATCACAACCCCTGTATAAGATATTTACTACTTATCAAGGCATTTCTGTAAAATAGTCCCCCTTTTCCACAGAGTCAAGATCAAATGGCACGTCTGTTCCAACAACTAAAACCAGTACCCGTTCACGGGATGTGCGGGACATTGGCAAACTATTATGCTTTGTTGGGTCAGAGTTTTTACTAAGTCCATGTAAAATAAAATCATTTACGTTTTTATATTTTTGAACCACGTGCATGACTTTAGTTGTCGTTTTTCTTTTCTTCTTCTTTTTCCATATCTCGGCTATTTGATACATGTTTCCACGTGACCTTAATTTTAAAGTCTCGTCCGAAAGAGAGATTAATTATTTTAATTGGCAAGTCCAAGTTTCAAAATGTAAGAATTCTTTTTGACATTTTTTATTATTTCACTACAACATTTGTTTAAAATTTTATATTTAGTGTTGTCTTCTTTTAATGTTTCCTCACAAAAATACCCAATCACGTTTAATATGAAGTTGATTAACCAAGGATGTACGGCTTACAGACAGCACTGCTCCATGTACCACAACAAGTCACGTGACCCTCAATGTCTTCCAATATCCCTTCGGGCATCTGTGGCAAGAAGTAGCAGTTGGAGAGATACTGAGAGATATTATGTACTTTATATCTTTAGATAAATTTATGCAAACACATTTCATTCAATTTTTTTACACAAATGAAATATCCAGACTACCATCATATTTTCGCTAATAGCCATAGTTTAATTGATACAATGTTTCAGCTTGCCCAAAGTAATTTCTGCTGTTGTTCATCAACGTCAAATACATTATCACGGTCGCCGTCATCATCATAAAAGAAAGTAACTTAAATTAATTACTATAATTATTACACCAGAGACATAGATATCTATGTCTCTGATTACACATGTACCATTGTTTTTTTCTTCTAGTGATCAAAAACTCATAATAATATTAAGATAAGGATGTACTTGCTATTTATATAAGTGGTCAAACTTTCAGACTTTTATTTCCATCTTAGGTTTACATCAAGTTCAAGTCAAGTTCAAATTCAAGTCAAGTTCAAGTCAATTACGGACAGGGCGGACCGTGAGACAGGGCGGACCGTACCAGGGCGGACCGTGTGTTTGGACGGGGTGGACCGTATTTTGGGACAGGGCGGACCGTGACTCGAGACGAGGCGGACCGCGCTTTAATGAAATAATAATATTTAAATATTGATGTTTCTTTGCTTTTGTGTGTGTCATTATCCGTCGGAATGTATCTGTAACTTTCAATTTATAGAAAGAGTGGGACAGTCTTTATATATTTAGAATTTAAAGGTGACCACCAAAGGAACATTCCTTTGAAATTTGGATGAAATTGACTAAGCAGTTTATGAGGAGTTGTCTTTTAAAGTAAAAGTTTACAGACGGACGCCGGACAGAGAGCGATCACAATAGCTCACCACGTCACTGTGATAGGTGAGCTGAAAAGGTTGTGTCACATCAATGCCATAAGGCTGCCAAGAATAATTTTATAACGCACTTTCAGGTTTTATTTGGCATGCTTATTAAATCTGTCTTTCTTATGAAGGTCAATAAATGGAATATAATATTATGTCTCTAAATTTTTTTACTGAAATTTTCAGCATGATCGTATCAAAGTAGACGCAAATATGAGACCATTTACACATGCACACTTATTAGTGCTGCAAATAGGGTAAAATGACAACGAAGTAAAAATAATGCTTCAAATATGGGTTCTTGTTGTGATAATCTCATCATCATATTCTAGCTAGGCCGGGGATATGGCGTGAGGATTATTGAAGGCTCAAGCCACAAGCAAAAGCCGGTTCACCATCCTCCATGCAAACAGGCCAATTTCCAGGATCCGAGTAGAGGGTATACATGCCAGGATGGTCTACTTAATGTTAAGGGCATACTTATTATCATGGCTACCATCCACCAATCGATCGTGAGGTACTCGGTGGAAGGTATACACCTTATACGCTAGGATTCTCTGACCGCTCAAGCCCAAGCAAGGCATATACAGTAAATATTTCGAAATCGAGCATGTTATTCGGTCAAGAAGTAGTAAAATCAAGAATAAAAGATCGATCCTTTATTAAACCCAGGTTTTAAAATAGTTTTTGAGATGCGTGTTTTTGAGAAGCCTGGATGCGTGCGTCACATTTATTATGTGACTGCCACCTGTGAGTAAATACACAAACACTGAAACTTAAAGTTCTTTGACCAATGTCATTGCAATAGACATAAAGCAATATGCAGTAGACAGGACTGACGTTATCACAGTATTTGGTATCACAATATTTGGATTTGATGCAGTAGCAGCAGGCAGCAGCAGTAGGAAATTTGAAGTTAGCAGTAACAGTAGCACAGCATTAGCAGTAGCAAAATTATAAAACGTGAAATTGGCAGTAGTAGTGGCACAGCAGTAACTGTAGCAAAATTATAAAACGTGAAATTGGCAGTAACAGTAGCACAGCAGTTAGCAATAGCACAGCAGTAGCACAGAAATAGCTGAGCAGTGACATGAATAATATATTTTCAACAATCATTTAGCTTTTACATGTATTACAACTCCACAATATGACGATTTTCAGTGTTCAATTTGTTATTCAACATCAATTACTAAAAAATAATACTAACGTTATTTAGAAAACCATTCATTCTAAATTATAGAGACATGTTAAGACAATTTTATATAAATTGTTTCATCAGATATGTAATTGTATTTTTATAGAAATTTTAATTTTACAATCGAATCGTTTGCTTTTGTAATGCTGGCTGGAACTTCTGAATATTTTCATATAACTGATTTCATGACCGAACATAACGTTGTAATTTATCATTTAAATGATCTGTATAATGATGTATATCTTTTTCCT